CTGGAAAATAATAGAGGTACGGCATATATATAGGAGAATATACATAGATTAAAGTACCATTTCTCTTATGGCAATTTGCTTCTGGACTAGTCCTTTTCCTCCAACTATTATAGGTTGGACAAGAGGGGAACTAAAAATGTTCTTTTCCACCCAAGAAAAATACAAATATCACAGTTAGGAATGTTTACTTACTTCCTCATTGCCTTATCAACCAGTCTTTTCTTCTCTTCTCTTTTCGTAGCTGTACAGACAACACTAAGGATTCTACAACTATGAGGTCACAGATAATTGGAAATGAAAAACTCAAAAAAAAAGGAAGAGTAAGTGCATTTCTATCTATAAATCGCAATATCCCTGAGTTGGATCTGATTCCTTTTTATGATCACAAGATTTACAGAGATGGTTCTTGGATTAGGGTAGTTGCTTGAGATATCCTTTCTCTTGGTCCGTATAAATAATTCACATAATACTATTTCATATTTATAACACAAAAAAGTAGTACGTACATATTATTGTCTTCTACTACGTTCTTTTGTCAAGTGATGCAAAAGTCCTTCCTAATCAAGAATCACTCTCTATATATTCTTTTCGTCTCAAAATAATTATTTGATTTGAATTTCCATGTTTAATTTAATTTATACATAAAAATACAAATCGGATAATCATTTAAAATAAGCAAAAATTTAATTACTTAGCTCCCTTCTTTTGTCGTGGCGGTAGTTGTAAATTGATCATTCACGAAAACTTTGGAGAGATTTAGATAATACATCAGATGTCTAGTGAATTTTCCCAAGTTAAAATTCATGTTAGAATCAGATGTGAATGCTCCCAGAAATTTCATTTTGAGCGCCGAAACCTCGCGTGATCATTTTATCTCTAATTAATTAAGTTATTGTGACTTTTTTTTTAAAAAAAATAAAAATTCTCTTGTCAGTAATTGTTTATGTGGATCTCTGAAGTAATTGTCAGTAATCATTACCTTTTGTCTCTCCAGACAATAGAAAACTCAAACTTCAGTCAATGGAAAGATTAAAAGTAAACAAATATTCGAATTGAACTTTTTTTGTGTGAATATACGATGGTACATCTCAATTTATTATTTCTTTTTTCTGAAAATGAAAATTCAAAATTTGGCAGTACAGTACTTATTTTTCAGCTTATGGAGTTACTAATTCTCAAGTGCTGCTGCCAATTAAAATCATTAGTCCGCGGGTTCCAATCTTGTTTCTCGAATTACTTCCTCCATTCAACAAACATTTTTTAACTTATTTATTGAAAGAGTTTTACCTTCGTGAAAAGGATTTATATGACGTAAATAGAAACTAGGTATTAGACCCGTGTATTCGCACGGGTATGATTTTATATTTTTATTTTTAATTTGGCTAAACACACAAGCACACACATATAACCCTACTAAATGTAATAATCATGTTATCATATTAAGTTACAATATAATTTACTAACAAAAGTTTATATAATCATCATATATATTGTATTTTTTTAATAATAAATTTGTTCCGTATATTTAACAAAAATTAAGCAACTTCTATATATTATATAAACCTTTAAAATATTTTTATCATTGTAGACAAACAAAAAAAAATATTGTGTTTAATTATATCAATATAAACCGTATTATTGTACAATGATTATAGACAACTACAGATATTATACATAATAGTAATAAGTATGTTAGACAATCAATCATAAAAGGCAATGAAACAAAAATAACAAACTTACAAACAAACAGTAAGCTAACAGAAATCATTTTTGGAGGTTTGATTAAAGAAAAAGAAGAAGAATATTTTGACATAAACCTCCACAAAAAAAAAAAAAAAATCTAAGAGAGAAAATATGAACCGAATTGTAGTAGGCCTATATCCTTTTACAATTAAATTTGGACTGTATTTTGCCTATCCATATGCAATCCAAGGGTTTCTTTTTTCTTTTTTTTTTTTTTTTTTTGAGGAGAATCTAAGCTTTCGCTCTGAACGTTTATTGATTTCCTTTTCTGGAGGGGTGTCTTCCCAATATGCAAATATGACTGCAATTTAGGAAAAGCGGCTTGGCTTTATGAGTTATGACAACAAATTGGAAATGGACCCAAAATTAACACCTTGATTAGGGCCTAATTCATTTTCCAAGTTATTGGTCAATGAACTTTATCATGTCATTCTGATGATAAAGTTCAATTATTTTATTTTTTACTTTTTTTCTCCAAAAACGCATGTGTCACGGAAAGACAAACCACATTTTTGTGTAAGTAAAAAAAATAGGCTATAAACCACAGCTCTACCATTAAATTTGTTTTTTTTTTTCCTGAAATCAACGTTTACAACTTAAAACATCTATTTGTTTGCATAAGTTTTCATAAATATTTGAGCTTTGATTACTTGAGAATCATTTTAAAAACATGAACCCATCAAATATGCAGCTTACCTTGTGTGTATTCTTGAGAGAACATTAGCATGTTGTTCCCAACAATAAAATTGATAATAAGCCATTTTGACGAATTTCAACAACAAAAAGGAAAAAAAAAAAAAACAAAAGTATAAGCAAAAAAAGCAAAGATTGCTTCTAAAGATATTACCACACATCATCACCATATGATATTTTATACTCCTTGCGAAGTTGTTGGCCATCAGTACTCCTGCTTGACAGAGGGATTCATTTCAGTTGTTGCTGATGAATTCCTCAATTCACCAATTTTGTCAATTGTTGCGGAGTGGCTTGATAGGATTGGCGTTGAAGGTTTTGAAATAGAAAGTTTCCAGTGCACAATATCTGCAACAATTGTCATGAAAGTTTTGACTTTGAGTGTCATCAGAAATTGGATGGAGGGTAGTTAGGACTTGCTTCAAAGTCGTGGCCAACCGAAAGAATTGAGTGGATGCATTAATTCATTAAAAAAATGAAGAACATATTCATTGCTTTCTCCCATCTTTGAGGTTTACTATAGAAAGTATATTCATTATCATGGAGGAAAATGAAAAGGCAAAGCCAAACTTCAACCGCAGGAGGAACAATTCCAGGTAAGCATAGCAATTGTCTGAATCGTAGTTTGTTGATATGCTCGTTCATTGATCAATTGGGCCGGTGCTCTTCTAAGTGGCCGGTCGCCCGATTTTATTTTATTTTTTTAACTTTTCGATCGATCATGCAGTAACGTCTATAATTTTCTCCATATAAAAATTAGGATTTGGAGGTTGCTTTTTAGAAGGGTATCGGAAACAGCTTTTTTAAAGATAGTGGGGATTTTTTTTTAGGAATGTGTTCGTAAAAAATATAATAACAGGATTGAAAAATAATTATATGTATGAATTTGAGGAAAAGTTTAAGGAAAATATGACACTTGGAATTTTAGTTAAAACTGATTTTTGTTATAATGGGGGCATAGATGATTCAGAACAATATAAATTCAGAGTTTCACTGGTTAGGGGGAAAAAAGAACTGTTGATTTCACTGATGGGCCTAAGGCTGGCACCCATAAAGCTGTGAAAAGATGCCCACGGTTATGCAGAAGACGTAGGCACAGTTTTCTGTATTTGTAGTTGGGATATAATAGCCCGGATACGAGAAGCGCATTGGATTCTTCTTTTCTGCAATTTTCCAGCCTTTGATAGTCTTGGACTTGGTGATTCCCAAGGCCTGCAAAATATGGGCCATTAATACGGATGTACCCATTTCTGGCATTTCCAACTCAGGCTGTTGAGTCATCAATTAAATCAAATGTCGGTCCGAACGGAACACAAAGTGCGCAGTCCAACTCGGCTCAAAACGGTCTCCTCGGAAAGCTCACGCAGTCGTCGTTTTAGTTACTCCCTTTGACCTAAAATTATTATACACTTTGAAATTTTATTTTTAGTATAATTTGAACTAAAATTAAAAATTTAAGCTGGATAATAATGATGGGATGGACGGAGTACATGCCTGAATTGGGCAACCAAAAGTGTTTTTTTTGTTTTTTTTTGAAAGGGTGGCAACCAAAAGTTGTGAAACCAGGAAAAACTTCTTTAACAAATTAAAAGAATTGTAGTAGTAGTAGTAATACACTTTTACAGAAGCTGCCTTTACAATGGCGTACTATTAACTAACTTCCCCCATTGTCCAATGCAAATTTTACACCATTTCTCGATCCGCTCTTTAGAGAATCCAAGGTTTAGTACTACTAGTTCTACATTGTTTTTTTTTTTTTTTGTTGAAGATGGTGCTACATTGTTATACTAACCTTACATATGACCCTCTGTCACCCAGTCTACATTTTTTTTTTGTCCCCGTTTTTGAGAACCTCAAATAATTGGTGAAAACTGAAAAACCAAAACCTTTTAAAGGCTAAAGCTCCATCCAGGCCAGGGAGATTTATCCTGGACCATAGTTGACACATTTATTATAATTAGGTCCCGCCACCCTTTTACCAGATGAGTTCCTCAATCACCAACACATACCTAAATGGCCCCTCTTCACAATATCAATTACTAGTAGTACTTTTGAAGAAAATTAAAAAAACTCTAAAATTTATAACATACTATCAGCTTTGATGCTTAACCAATAACCACTGTATCATAAATCTGATAAGCATTAATGCCCGATAAATTATATCGTTGATGACTGTGACCATTTAATTACCATCAAGTTCTTATCGAAATTTACTTCATGATAAATCGAGCATTGCATTCAAATGTAGTATATGATCAAGCCTGTGTTTTTTTTTTTTTTTTTTAAAAATTTTTGTAAGTTATTTTGGAAGTTCCTTAAACCGAACTTATTACGATAATTCATAAATCCTCTTATGTATATGTCACTTACTTTCAAACTCACGTCATATTTTTAAAAAATACTACTAGTACATTTTTTTTTCCTTTTCAAAAGGAAACACAACAAAACACAAACACAAGGCAAAGGCCCTGCCGCCCTGGTAACGCGGACGGCGTCGTTTGTATGTCAGCTATTATAATAAACTTTTAAAATTTGAACATCAGTATTTTATTTAATCGAAAAAATTCAAGTCCCCTTATGCCTCAACTACACAAAGCTCAGTGTAGAAAAAGGACTGACTGCAAGGACTCAGAAACAGTGTGACTATCTGAATGTGTGTGTGTGTGTGTGTGAGCAGAAGGACTGGAACTGGAAGGCACAAGGAGCAAAGATTATTTTTTTAAAAGAAAAATGGTGAACTTTTACAACGTGCTACTTTCATCATCAGTCATTCCTTAAAATTATCTCTGCTAAATAACCCATAAAAATGCCATCTTGAACTACACCTCTCCTCCCATTTTCAGATCTCTGTATCCTCAGCCTTACCGTTTTTTATTACTCAGATAGTGGAGCTTTTTTGTTAATTGTTTTATCTGCTGGTGCATTGGCAGGGCTGTTTGGTTTAAGGGTTTTGAAAGCGTTCTGCATATCCGAGGTATGTTTTAGATCAAAAGCCATTTCTGGAACAGTCTTTTTTCTTCCCTTTCGGGTGGCGGCCTTGTCTACAGGGTTGTTCTTTTGAGATTTCTGTCGTGAGGGTTTTGTTGCTGCAGGTGTTTACATATGTATATGTATCTTCCTTAAAAATTTGTCCTTTCGGGCTGGGTTGGTTGGATTAGTCCATAATCCAAATAGAAGTGGTAGCCATTTCTTATAACAGGGTATCAACTTAGGGCTGTCAAGTCTCAATTCATATAATCTGTCGTATTTTCAGTATGTAAGATAGTTGGGAATCTACATTAAGTTGACGGGGAGAGGAAAAACTTGAAATTTTAGTTGTAAAATCACTTACTGATGGAAACCTTATAATTTGTCGTTTCCTTTTACTGTTCTGGGTATCAAATTGGTGCACCAAACCTGATTATGATTTGTGGTTCTTAAAATATCCAGTTTCCTAGTATTTATAAGCTTCTTTGCATTGTATTTTCCAGGTTTTATATTGACTTAATAGTTTCTGCACCCCAGCCTTGTTTAAATGGGAAGATCTCCGGGAAAATGGTTCAAAGCCCTTCTTTCTCGGAAGAAGGGATCTAAATCCAATTTGTCCAAAGGAAAGGAGATTTCAGTAAGTGTGCCCAGATATTGATCTCTTCGTTCTGTCTGACTACTGAACATTTTTGTCCATCAGTTAGCACGTACAAGCAAGCATAACTGCTCTATCGTTACATGCCATTTATCCTTGCATTTTGTGTGTGAGATAAGCTTATGAAATGCCATTTCCAGATCTATTTCTTAGCTAATTGCCATTGATGCTGCTCAAGTGTCACCACTTTACTCTGGTGACAATAGCAGTTCTTTTGTACGTCTCAGTGACATATTATACTAGGGAACTTTGATCATTTTACTTGAGAAGATAGATGGCTTAAAATGTATAGGGCCAGGCAGATTGCCTTTTGATGTGCATGCACGATTTGAATTAAATATGGTCAAGCGATTTGAAACTGAGCTATTTGTTTAGAATTTGTTTAGTGGTGAGCATCTCAGTTGCATATCATTTTTCACTAAGCATTTGTTTAGAATATGTTTTGTGGTGAGCGTCTTTGTTGCATATTGTTTTCTTACTAAGCATTTGTTTAGAATATGTTTTATGGTGAGTGTCTTTATTGATTATCATTTTCTCGCGAAGCATTTGTTTAGCATATGTTTTGTGGGAGCATCTTTGTTTTGTGCCGACCTACTTTGATTAAAATCATGTTTTCTTGATCTATTTGATGATTACAAAGTTTAAGATGTATACTTCAACACATTGAGCTGTTACTTTCTTTTGCTTGTTGAAGAACTCTTCCAGTCAAGGGAAGAGAACAGTTTCCGACCATGATGAAACGTCCAGCTTAGACGAGGTCCCTTTTTCAATATCCGAACCAGTTCTTATATCTGGAGGGAAAGGGATTCCTGGATCTGAGAAGGGAGGTTCTGCTAGGTTGCCGAGCATTGGTTTGTTATTGACGACACCTAAGCAAGATGCAGATGCACAAACTGCCACAGATCAGGATATACCAGAAGTTTCTGAGAGTGACAGATTGAGGCTTGAGCAAGCTGCAACAAAGGCACAAGCTGCATTTAGGGGCTACTTAGTAACTTTCTCTTGCTATAGTTCTCTTCTCATTCTCCTTGAGTTATCTTTAAGTGCAAAGGCACCAAGAATAACTCAGAGACTTATTTTTCAGAACTTAATTTTATGCTCTTTCTCAGATCAATGCATGTACAATTTAGATTTGTTGATGGACCTTAAAGGTTCCCAGTGAATGAGAAGTTGATGATGCCATGGGTTTTTCATCTGTTCATTTGTAGGTGTTTTCTGTGTGCCAATGTGAAGTATTCTTATTGGGTTATATATGTGACATGCTACCTTCACTTCTAACTGAAGAAGCTTCCTGCTGGCTGAACATTGATAATATGCTTCAATTTACACCCAATATTCAATCATGCGTCTATGAGGACATGTTTGGTCCATAATCCTTCTCTTTCTCTCTTCACAGGTTCGACGAGAACTTCCAGCACGTGTTGACATCATTAGGCTGCAGGCCTTCATTCGTGGACATTTGGTCAGGAGGCAGGCTGTTGCTACTTTGTACTGCACACAGGGCATTGTTAAGTTTCAAGCACTTGTTCGTGGTCAAAATGTTAGGCGATCGGGTCTTTGCATTCAAGTGCATAATAAATCAGCTATGGAAACAAAGGTAATTCCTCACTAAATGTGTACCATTTTCAAGTGGATATTACAACATTTTTCTGAGCTAGAGAAGTACCAATGTGGATTAAAATGGCGAGTTTGAGAATTATATGTATCCTCATGCTAGTTTATGTGAATGTGGTTTGTACCCTACTTTGTATTTCAAGTTTCGTTGGGGAATGATTTCATCATTTATCTAACAGGATCCAAAGGATTTGAAATCTGATCAAGCGAGTGCATATGGTCCACCAGAAAAAATCGTAGAGAATGCTTTTGTTGCGAAGGTCAGTTGGACATCTCAGTCTCTTCCTAATGTTTCTTGAAGGGGTCATACTTTGGATTTGCTAAGGCTTGCCAGAAAAGTTAAAGCATAAGTAGAAAAACCATTCTGGGTCTCTTATAACAGTTTTTTGTGTTTTAAAAAAATATCAATTGATTTAGTGAAGGGGCATCATTTTACGATAATTTGTTTCATAACTACGTATTTTTAACTGTGGCAAACAAATGAACTCACAGAAAAATAATAGGAGAGATCCTATGCTGTAAATAAGTCTCATCCTATTTCAGTTGCCGGACACAGTTGAATGTTTCATTTGCCTCTCATCTTGATCTTGTACTCTTACTCTTGCTGATGACAGAATTGTCAAAAAAAATAAAAATAAAATAAAATTTGCCCTTCCCATGCAGCTGAAGTGTCTAGTTTGTCCCTATTACCAACTTGAGAGTGAATTGAAAATTGCTTTACTTGCATCTTCCTATCCGACTCATTTTCTAATGATCAGTTGGTAAAAGGGATCTTCACTCTTTTATGCACCATAATCTTTTCAGCTACTGTCTCTGTCACCTACTGTGATGCCTCTGCTCTTGCAATATGGTCCAGAAGAACCAAACTCTGCATCTGATTGGCTACTCCGGTGGACGGCATCACGGATTTGGGAGCCAAAATCAAAGTCAGAAGCTCTTCCCACGAAGCAGCAAAAGGTTGAAACTGGGAAAGCCAAGCCAAAACGCAGTGGGGTGAGGTTGCAGTCTGTAATTGTTGAGAATGGCTCAAACCATAACAGTTCTGACCAGGAAAAACAGAAACGCCTTGCAAAGAAGATCCCAAGTCATTCTGCATTTTCTGACCCAGGGCATCCTTCAAATGAGATTGAGAAGGCTAGGAAAAATCTGAAGAAAGTTTCGAACACCACCAAAGATATGCCCTCTGAGAGAGAAGGCATTACTGAGAAACAATTGCGAATTGATAGCAAAGAAGTCAATGTTCTGCCCCCTGATCTTTCAGGAGACGTTACTGACACTCAATCAGATAAACTTTGGGTTGAGACGGGAAGTGGTGAACTTAAAACAGTGATTCCAGAGACAGACACACATACCCCAGCTATCGAGATATGTGACCATCCAGTACTGAGCTCTTGTGTGGAAACTGAACTGATTAGTGAAGGAAACAAAGATACTCTTGGTGTGAATGACATAACCAGTGATCCCACGGGTGATGAGAACCTTAAGGTTAGTAAGAGAAGAGCTTCTTTACCTGCAAAGCATAACAGTTATCCAGATGCTGGGGCTCATAGTGTCTTAGTTGGTAAAGATGATCAAACTAGCTACGAAAACCATAAATTATCGAAGAGAAGGGCCTCTTTCCCTGCTAAACATGATGAACAGGATGCTGGCTTACCAAGTGAAACAAAGGTCCCCAGCTACATGGCAACAACTGAGTCTGCTAAGGCTAAGTTCAGAGGTCAGGTTTCCCCAAGGTTTGGACAAGATGCATATGACAAGAATGGTATAACGAGGCGCTACTCGTTACCTTCTTCCAACAATGCCAAGATGACTTCATCTCCGCGAGTTCAGAGTCTGGTTCAAGCTACTGGTGGAAGAGGAGGAATTAAAATTGACAGATCCCTTTCATCATCTAGAGATGGTAATGACGTAAAACCTATCTATAGAAATAAGTTTACTACATAAAACCGTAAAACTGGAGTGCGTGTGTGTGCGTGCGTTTGTGTTTATATATATATTTCCATAACTTCCTTTCTGCATATGACTCCTTCAGAAAATAAGAAAAAAATTTTCCTCAAAACCTGCATGCTATTTGGAATTTAGATTTCTAGTTTCTTGTGCTAGTCATTAAAATTTTTATTGCTTAAACTGTTACACATTGGTGGCCAAAACATTTCACTGTTTGTAGTCTAATCTGGCTTGGGCACTTGAAATATTTGACATTAAGACACTTGTTACTTTTCTCTCTTTTACTCCTGAACTGTAAGACGTCCATGCGTCTTTCACATGATGGGTAGGCTCCATGCGTCCAACATATGACCCTTATAATTTTACTCTTTGGTTGTATGGGTTTTCCTTTCTTTCTTTGTTTTTTTTTATTAAAAGAAATAAATGCTGATTTGCCGTTAATAGTGGTATTCTGCATAGTGGTTTGACTTGTCATCCTATTCTGGATTCAGGTAAGGTGCTTCAAGCTGAATGGAGGAGGTAGATAACATTAGCAAGACATGTATTGTGAGGTCCGGAACAAAATTACTAATGTAGTGGTTCTCATTTTGTGCATGATGCGTAGTTGTAGTTTGTCTCAGGCAGGGGAAATGAATTTTGGGCAGTTATATTTATAGGCTTTTGAGTTGTATGGATGTTGGGACCTAAGATGTTATCCCGTGTTACCGTATTTTTGCCGCTATCAGCCGTAACTGTTTAATAGATTTCACTTCCAGTTGGCATTTTGAAACCATGTATGTTGCTTTGAAGAAGCCAGAGCGTAGCTTTCCGTCACCCATGGAAGGTAGTAACTAGTAATCCGAATTGGTGCAAATGCCCGCATAGCATGGACGGGCTTGTTAAACTCACTCTTAGTTCGAAGTGCTTAAAGAAGTTGTGGGCATGCACTATTTCTTGTTCCTCCTGCACAGTAGTTTGTGTAAACATTGGTGTGTTATAGTGGCGGAACTGCAACAAAGTCGTTAAAAAGTTGCTGGAGAGAATACAGTGGAAAAAATGTTGTGTAAGCCAAGTGAAAATATCAGGGTTATAAAATGCAGCTCAGGGCTAAAGTCTGTTGATTTCAATGCATTACTAACCATTATCAGTTATGAGAGTAACTTAGTAGGAGCTTCTTATATTAATGGGGATCAGGTAGCCCCGGGAGTTCCCCCAAACTTCACAGAGAAGGCGAGAACTAAGCATGCGATTGACAGAGACACGCTCGATGTGGTCGACGAAATTCTTGAGAGTAGCTTATTCTCTCATTGTTTTCAGTTGCTTGATGATCAGATAACCAGGAGTTACAGTCCTGCCACTCTTTGACATGTAACCTCAATGAAGCGATTGAGGGAAACTTTAGGGAATCCCTATTTAATGCACACAACTCATTCACAGACACAGAAAAAAGTACACAGTGCATACAGATACAGGTACTTTAAAATGACAAAATCTGGAGGTACCTGATGCTAGCAATCTTCAATGATGAACTCTGCATTTCACATTAGTCAATACCTTGATTTGAAATATTTCTGCCAATTTTGCAGCTGTCGATATTGCAGGAATCAAATATGCCGAAAGGGTTTACAATAAATTCGTTAAACCACTGCCTATTGGTTAGCTCGAGATGTAATTTGAGTCTTATGCCTGTACTGTAATTGGAATAACGCATATTTTACATTTAGGCATCATTCTTAATTTGTACCAAGAAAAAACATGAGATTCCTCCAGATGTCGTCTTTCACATGATGGATTAACTATTTCTCAAACTTTGAAAGCATGTCTGGAGCTTTGAAGAAACTAGGGTTTATCTTTCCATCAGCCACTGAAGGTAGTAATTAATCTAAAGTAGTGTAAATGCCCCACAATATGTAGGGGCTAGTGTTAAGTATACTCACCCCCGATTCAAAGTAATAAAGAGATTATTACAGACCTCTACTGTTTCTCGTTCCTTCCATACACAAGAAGTTTGTGTAAACCTTATTGTGATTTAGTAGTGGTGGAACTGTAACAGAAAGAGTTCAAGAAGTGTATGGCGTGATCGTGGAAAAATGTTTTGAGTGAGTTCATAGAGTAAAAACGTCGGAGTTTGAAATGCAGCTCCCAAGGCTAGGATCTGTCAAATTTCAATGCACTACCGAGCCTTTCGATGGAGTAACTGTTGTACGTGCTGCTGATAGGATCAGGTAGCCCCAGGAGTTCCCCCAAACACTTCAGTGAGAACCAAACTATGCATGGGATTTTGCACGTCTCAATGAAGTGGTTGAGGAAACTCTTGGGAGTGTAGCTGATTTGATGTCGGTCATTGTTGTTTCAGTTGCTTATTAATGAATCAAGTGAAAGGATCAAGATATCCCCAGGAGTTCCCCCAAACACTTCAGTGAGTACTGACAGTAATCCTTTAATGATGAACAACAAGTATCTCAATGAAGTGATTGAGGAAACTCTAGGGAACCCCTGATGAGTTTTCATTCTTGTTTCTGTTGCTTGATGAACAAATATGGTTTGAGTTAAGAGTCATATTTATACTGATTTCATAACCACAAGTAATGGGCCTAACCGCCGGCCGAGAAAAAGCAAGATTTTGGATATAAAGTGGCGGCAGCAGCTGCAGAACCTAGATGGAACCGTGGGCAAAAGGCATGCCTGGGAATCAAATTTTTGGTTGTAATTTACAACAAAGTATGGGCGAGTTTAGACTTTGGTCATAATCTCTGCCTCTTCAAAATTTTTGGGTTCCGGGTGGCAACAGCAAAAAAAAGTGGGGAAAAGAAAGAGATGTCAGTATTTGTTCCAACAATAATTATAAAGATTCCATTTTTCATCATGCATTGAGGCCGCAAGGGTGGCCAGGTTCAATTTCTGGGAATGCATCTAACAAGCTTTCTGAACTCTGGAGCTGTGGTCCTCTTTCTCACCAATGCGAAGACTTCAACTCTCCAACTAGTGTGTGATCCCCCCAATCCAGCATATTCAGTTTCACTATGAATAGATACCAATGACTTAATGGTTCTGCTTATTACATTCTCAAGCAAACAATTACTAATTAATTAAGCCCCATGGGATTGCTGAGAGATTTTGCGTCGTGTTTCCCCTAGAGTTCCCTTGACCACTTCATGGCTGGCAATTTTTTACGCAATTAAAATCGATGAGAGTGTGATTTGCCCCCAAAGAAGTCGCAGTAAGTCATTGGATGTTAAACTATCGGATCAAATGCCAAGAAAACAAAGTAATCTTATTTTAGATGTAGTACTAGTACTACTATACTGGGAATGTTCATATTATTTTTTTTGGTATCATAAAATTTTGGCAAAATAGAGGCTTCTACATTACTAATGACAATTGTACAGTCAGCCAAGGTTGAATTCTGGCGATTATATATCATCACCTCCATATGATTCTTGCTGATTGCAAAAGCTACACAAATTTTGAAATTAAATGACACAGAAAGCGAAAACTGAATTTCCGCTGGTCCAAGTTGGAGCCAGAGTGGCAACCCCAACGGAATAGCCATTTCCAACGAACACACAACCACAGCTAGCGGAAGCGCCCCCATAAATGGTAGCACCAGTGTTGTAACTCCACAAGATTCTCCCCGTTTCAGCGTCCATTGCATAGAATGGACCATCGGATGCGACTGAACCCGCGAAAAGAACCCCGTTGACAATGGTAACAGGGCCGTTGCAGGAGTCGTTCTTGGGATTGGCGGTGGTCCACAGGATGTGGCCGGTGTCGGCGTCCATGGCCACCCATCCGCCGGCGGTTGTGGTACGATTAGAAGGTGCAAGTATGAAAGGCAGTCGGTTATTGTTGGCAATGTTGGTGTAAACACGTTTCCCGTCCGTGGCCGCACCCCAGGTTCCTCCTCCACCGAAACCACCCGGTCCTGCCTTCTGTTACACCACCCAAATTCGATTCAATCTAATTATGACAAACTTGATATATATAGTACCCAACTGCGCGCAGATGTAAAACAGAGAATTCCATTTTCAAAATGAATCCTAAACAATTTCTAAATCTGAAGTTTAAGACACTAAATTATAAATTTACAAAATTCCATAAAACTCATAGTGAATTAAAAGCCGTGTGATATTTCTAACATGTCACACTAAAATGAAAAAACGAAAGCAAAAGTGATAATCACTCTGTCCAAAATTATTGTCGAGTTTGGGTTTTCGCTTTTAGTTAAATTTGTACTAAAAATGATGATCCAAACTGGACAATAATCTCGAGCCGGAAGGTGTAATTGAATTGGAACTCAAGGGACTTACTCTAAACCAGACAATATCACCATTGTCACGATCTAGTGCCCAAGCAAAGCCACTCTTTTGCACAGCCACGGCAACGTCGCGCAGGCTCCCATTGAAATGGATGGTGAGAAGCATGGGTGCCTCCCCGAAATCGGCATCAGGATTAGGACCAGGGGGACAATCAGGGTTGCTTGGATCAAAGCAAGCACTAGTATAAATATCATAGCCTCCCAAACGCTTGGACCATCTAATCTCCCCAGATTTTAGATCAAAAGCCATGATGGAATTGAAATGCACATCTGATGGGACGCACTCATGAGTAGGTGCGGTCTGATTATTTTGTGCTTTTTGACAGTCAAGGACTTGTTGTGGTGCAGTGTAGAGATTGCCAGTGGCTACATAAACGAGTCGCCTCTTAATGTCGATAGCCGGGCTGCTTCCCCATATTGGCGCCCCTGAAAAGCCTCCTAATTTGCCGTCGTTGTCTGGGACGGTGTACGTTTGCCATACAATTCTGCCGGTACGAGCATCTAGTTTGGCCATGCTTCCCCGGAAAGTGCAGCATCTCTCTGTTGGTAGATCCTCCTCCGATGACGACACTCCCACGTAGAATGACCTTTTTTTGATATAGTACAAAATAACAAAATGCATATTCATTTTATGGCAGGGTGAAGAAAGGTCAAAAAGCATCTGTTAAGTACCTATATTCTCACATTTTTTAATCTCTAATCCAACAATTATTATTGCAGTTTAGTCTAATTGAAAGTAAATTTCACCAAATACTTCTGCTTACCACGCAGTTTGGACTTTAGATTGATAGTTAGATTAACAAAAACAGAAATTAACACAAACTACATACTAACTCCGGTCCTAATTATAAACTACAAATTTAAACTAGTTTTAGTATTAATTTGTGCCTTATAATTAGGACGGGAGGAACATATATTTTGACTGACCGACCCCATGAAATATGTGCCAGACGCCGTAACTAAGGCATGAGGTCTATGATCAAGCTGAGTGAGCCACATAAGTTCTCCAGTGAATCGGCTTACAGCGATCACCACAGCCGGTCCATAAATCCCGACTATTAGCAGATCTCCCGCAATGGCTGGGGTGGATCTTGATGCCGTAACATTCACATATGCCCCTTCTGCAGGAGGCTTTAGGCCAGTTAAGTTGCCAAGGTTTTTCTTCCATATGAGTTCTCCATCTTCTTCTCTCACCGCAAACAGAAAACCATTCCATGAAGGGAAGTATACTACTCCGTCGAATACTGCCGGGGTGGCTGTTGTGTCGAACCCTGACTCGAATCTCCATCTTAATCTCATCTTCCTCACTGTTTCTGGATTGATCCTAATTTCACTCTTGGCATTTCTCTGATTGCTTATGTCTCCCCCGTGATTTAGCCACTGAAATATAATGCATTTAACATCATACAATTTAAGCTAGTACGACCTCATAACATCATGGTAAATTGCTCCGATATCATAAGTTGTTTCTCCTTCCTTTTGAGGATTTTGTTCTTCCGTCATCACTAGACATTTTCTAACCCATTTAATACATCTTTCACTTTCATCGCAAGAAACTTGAATAAATAATTGGAACCGCTACTCATTAGTTTCATTTTGTTATACTAAAAAAGGTTTCCCCGTGTACAAACTTTATTCTTATCCAATATTATGTGGATATGGATTAATTTAAAAGTTAATGAGACTTTTAGTACTCCTTCTATGAATTGTACGATTTTTTAATTTATATAATGTAAACTGTTTTTATAGAACAGGAGAGAATTACAGATGTTGAAGTGGAAATTGAATGACAGCCTAGTGATTAGGATACTATGCTTCTAAACATTAGACTTGGGTTCAATTCCCACCAAGAAGTATGTACTCACATTTAAGTGGGGTCCATAGGGATATATATTTTTTTTAAAAAAAGTGTTAGAAGTATAGTAATAGGCTTAACTGCTTACTGTTGATTCTAATTACATTTTCTCTTTTTATTTCTTTTGGGGGAAGGTTTGAATGAAGACCATTGATGTGATATATACATATCAGCTTGGATTGAATTATTTCATTTGGCCCTTCACTGAAAGTGGCTCTTCTTTAGTCTACCTTTTGATTTTTCAACCTTAATTAGATCATTTCTTAATGCAAAGTCGGACCAACTTCTGCTATCGTTCGGTGACATAGCTAGGCACTTCACGACACTAATTTAATACAGGTTTGAATAGGATTTGATTATTGTTCAAGATCGACTGTCAAATTTGGCTCATATTGGCTCGCATAAAAGTCTTCTGTTTCCCAGATAATTAAACAGATTTGATCAGTTTTCGAGTTAATTATTAATGACAAAAGAAATTTGAAAACTACTTATGAAAAAGCCTCAAAAGAGAGATATACAAAATACCTTAATTGTTTCCAAGGGGGAAAAAGATAGAAAGGAAGAAAAGAAAAAGAACCACTAGTAGGTTGAGAACCTTATAGGGAGATAAGGGATCGGATTAATGGTATGTTTTTGGATTTGAAATATTGCATCGTAGCGTCTCCTCGTTTACACGGAGGCGGGACTCGCAACTTTTAATGCATGATTAATTACGTGATTAAGACTTGGGATTCAGTTGAATATAAAGTAAATTACGAAGATGAAGTGAATGAATATGAAATCATACAAGAGCATGTTGATTAATGGAAGTGAATTATACTTACATCTGCTGTTGTACTCTGAAGGAGGACAAGTAAACACAGTCCAATTAGAAGGAGAAACCGGTTGCCCTTGTGCTTAATCCAAGAGGAACGTGCCAGCTGAGACATAATCACCTCTGCCTTGATCTTCCCTTGTAAATTCAGTCCCTGGTTATCTTGTTTGAAGCTAGCTAGAAACCCATCGACATTACTACTTCACTCCTCTCTGAGTATAAATGGGCGAGTAGTCATCCCTTTTCTTTTTCAAGGAATTAGAATGATGGATAGCGATCTGCATTGTGGCATTGCAATCAAATACAAGGAAACTATATAGATGACTTACGCAAAAAAAATAAGTTAACGGTCAGGATGTCACATTCATTATGAATTGATATTCAACTATGGATAAAACCATTAACATTTATATACTTAAATTAGTGATGTGATTTTTTTTTTTAATGACTATATAGGAGACTATTATTTGGCAATCTGACCAAGGAATTAATGGACACTTGGCATGTCATGATTTCCAATTGACTTATCCAATCCGCCATCAGATAATGCAGTCCTACCTCCATTTTTCTATATGCCCGCTTTATGGTGAACCCATAATTTTTCTTCCACTTCATTTTAAATGCATCATTAAATATAATTTTTTAATTTTACATTTATCTTTTTTTTATTTTAATAATATATATTAATAATAACAACCTATTTTTTATACTATAATTTTAAATTTTTATAGAGTTTCAATATTTTTAATTAATAGCAAGAAAGACAATCCACTTAAAAATTAAGTCTCAGTCATTATTTCCTTAATAATTGTTTAAATCGTAAAACGACATATAAAAGTAAATGGAGATAATATATTAATTGTTTGCACGAGTCTGTATTCTAATATTAAAATTTAGTGCGTACAAGTTATAACAGGATATTTGGATACGCAATCAAACGCTTTAATTTGATCCTGTTTTGAAATGGGTGATGTGTATCTGATGATAATTGCAAATTAAATTTTGACTCGGATAGTAAAATAGGATATACATCCAAACTATCAATATGCGTGCCAATTTCGATGAGAATTGGACATCTTAATGCCAAATTAAGGCATTAAGAATTGGACATGTTACTCAGAAAATAAATTAAGGCATTAAGCAAAATTATTATGTCATAAAACGAGGGGGAAAAAATCAATAAGCCAACTTTGTTATTTTTTTAAAATAAAAATTATATTATATTATTTTTTACTGAAAATCGTCCAGCAACGATTGATAAATGATATTGAGAGTTACAGTCAAAACAAGAACGCCACTTACAATGAAACATATCACTATTGTTGTGTTTTTCGTGGATAAAGTGTCTAGATTTACTCAATATAACGATGGATATATCACGTGCCAGATAATGATAAGAATATATCTCTAATCTTCTGATGAATGTCCTACTCATAGATCTATGAAATAAATCTATGATAACTGAATTTTTTCGAACTAATCATGAATATCGCAACAACCATACGGAAGACACCAGAAACACCATTGAATATACCTCAAGCCCTGTAACAAAAAACTCTACCTTGTCAATAGATCACAATTGATCTATTGAAAAAACCATACTTTGGAGACAAATCTCACTTATTAAACGACGTAAACAATTAGAAATAAACAAAAATCAAATCAATAAGCCAACTTTGTCATTGATAAATGTAACTTAGACACGAATTGTACTGCTGAACAATCCGCCAATTTGGAGTAGTATGGTTGTTATTTTCATCAACCATTAGTCTTTAACTATAATGTCCACAACCTTAGGGGAGGGACCTGAGGAGTGATGACGGCGACTTAACAGTGAGATTACGAGTCTAAATCTTGGGGGCCTAAAACCCTAGGATAGTTAAAGGGCACAGAAGGCGAGCACTGAATTTCCACTGGTCCAAGTTGGATGAAGCGTCGCAACGCCAACAGAATATCCATTTCCGACAAACACACAACCTTTGCTAGCAGAAGCTCCCCCATAAATAGTAGCACCCGTACTGTAACTCCACAGAATTCTGCCGGTGTTGGCATCCATGGCATAGAACGGACCATCGGAAGCGACTGAACCGGCAAAAAGGACCCCATTGACAATGGTAACCGGCCCATTACAAGTCTCATTGCTAGGGTTGGCGGTGGTCCATAGGATTTGGCCGTTATTTGCATCCATGGCCACCCATGCTCCGAAGGTTGTGGTCTGTGTAGAAGGTGCGAGGGTGAAAGGCAATCTGTCGCCGTTGACAATGTTGGTGTAAACTCGCTTCCCATCCGTGGCGGCGCCCCATGTTCCTCCTCCCTCATCACTTCCGGGTCCTGCCTTCTGCATGTGTAACAATTAAATTATCAAATCTTATTAATTATTAAGGGTGCTCAAAAGTCATATAGGATCCAATTTACAACTTTAACCATCGTGTTATCACTCAAAAACCATAATCAAACCCTTCTTTTCTCATCAAACATAAAAGAGAAAAAGAAAAAAAAGAAAGATAGATCGTTACTTTATTACTACATTGTAAGTAGTTTCCATTAATAAATAACCGCTCATATTTATTTTATTTTTTTGTGTGTTGTGCTAACATTGTGTAAATGTTGAATTTAAATGAAGACTAAGGGCTTGTTTGATATAACCACTTAATGCTTAAAATTATTGGATTAAACATTTTTTTATTTCAGCCTGTTTGATAATAAAAAAGAAACCTCCTAATGAATGAAATGATTCTGAAATTGCCGTACAAAATATAAGTAATAAAAGTTAGTTTATTCCTTATTCAATAAGTACTTAATGAATTCAGTATTAAACATTTAGAACCAAAGAATAATTTTTATCAAACATGTCCTAAAACTAAAAAGATTCAAAACTGGAACTGGAATTAAATGATGAAATCCAAACTGTGTGGGGTTCAACTTGGAAAAAAAAAAAAGGTAAGAAAACTTACAGTAAACCAAACAATATCACCATTATCACGATCAAGAGCCCAGGCAAAGCCACTCTTCTGCACAGCCACGGCAATGTCGCACAACCTACCATTGGATTTAATGGTGAGGAGCATGGGTGCCTCCCCGAAATCTGCATCCGGATTAGGCCCCGGGGGACACACACTATTAGGATTTGTGCAAGCAAGATAGAAAACATCATATCCCCCTAATCGCTTGAACCATCGAAGTAGCCCAGTCTTTATATCAAACGCCAGGATGGAATTAAAGTGAGCTTCTGGCGGGACACACGCATCGGGAGCAGTTGGCGGGGTGGTCTGATTATTCTGTGCTGCTTGGCAATCTAGAACTTCTTGCGGTGCATTGTACAGATTGCCGGTTGCCACGTAAACGAGTCGCCTCCCGACATCGATCGCCGGGCTACTTCCCCATATGGCTGCCCCCGAATAGCCTCCTAAGTTGCCGCCGTTGTCAGGGACGGTGTAGGTTTGCCATAGAATACTTCCAATGCGAGCATCGAGTTTCGCCATGCTTCCACGGAATGTGCAGCATTGGGATGGTGGCAGCAATTCTTCTAACGACGACACTCCCACATAGTATGCCCTTTTTGCGGAGAATTACGAAATTTTGGAGTTAATAAATTTGGAGATTTTTGTTTGCATGCACATGTGCACCATCATTTTCATTATTTAAGCCAAATATGACCTTTTTTCGTTAGATTTCTTCCATTTTTTGGGGGTTAAATTTAATTCAGACAATTTAAACTTCTTACTCCGCTTTGTTTGAAATTTTACTCCTATTACAATTTATAGTTAAAAATAAAATAAAAATCTAAATTTGACGATCGTTTTTGGTACGAAGAAAGTATATATACTAACCCGAATAAGTATGTCCCCGAGGTTGTGATTATAGCACGAGGATTAGGATCAAGCTGTGATTGCCAGACCAGTTGTCCAGTTGATCGTCTCACTGCGATAACAACTGCGGGCCCATAAATTCCGACTATGAGGAGATCGTCTGCGATGGTCGGTGCGGACCTAGATACTGTAATGTTGACAAACCCTCCTACCGGACCTGGAAGCCCAGTCAGCTGTCCCAGATTCTTCTTCCAAATAAGTGATCCATCGTCTTCTCTCACCGCAAACAAATACCCGTTCCAGGAAGGGAAATACACTACTCCGTCATACACCGCCGGGGTGGCCGTCGTATCGAACCCCGATATGAATCTCCATTTCAATCTCAAGTTCGTCGCTGTTTTTGGATTTATTAAGATTTCTCCCTTGGCTTCTCTCCGATTGGTTATGTCACCTCCATGATTTAGCCACTAAATTAACGCATTTATCAGCACTATCAAACTAATACGTATGTTTTTCGTATTTGATATAAATTACTTGTGTTTATTTCCTCTATCCAAAAAAAAAAAAAAAATTACATTGAATTTTGAGTTTTGTACTATTTTTAATACAATTTTGAAAAGCCAATGTGAACAGTTCTTTTGAAATAGAAGTAGTACGACAAATTTTGTAAGTTATTTAAATTTAACCAATGGAACTTTATTTATGGAAGGAAGAGATCGAGCATCAGTTAAAGGCAAGAAAGTATAGAAAGATAAAAGTTTAATATTGAAAGTGAAAAATTGTATACTTACCTCTGCTTCTGTATTCTGGAGGAGCACAAGTAAGCTAACTGTAATAAGAAGCATAAATCGGTTCCCCGTTTTCCTCCAAGAGGAACGTACCACCAACATGGTTACTTTTACCCCTTGGTTTATCGTCCGAAATTTAGTAAGTTGTTGGGATCTAATCACCAGGAGGTTATATTGAAACTAGCTACAAGGTTTGTCTCATGCATTCAACAAAATGGCAAAAGGAGGTAAATGATGATAATGCGCAATTCATCTACGTACTGCATAAGTTCTATGTCGGCTATTAAATAGATATGTAATTACTTTGTAGGAACGATTTATTTTTATTTTTATTTTTTTTTTCCATTTTGCTCCTAACGTGCCTCACTTTCAAAGATAGAAGGATATGTAATTAAGAATTCGGGGCCCCGGGTGCGAAGAATTAAATTGTGCCTTTTTTTTGTTAGTACTTGCTTAAAGATTATATTTTAAATATTAGATTTTTTTTCATAGTAGAAAATGAACTATTCGTATTCTGGAATGAATAAATTTAACACATTTATTGATCATTTTTTCCACAATATTTACATAATATAAATCTTATAAATTACACTTTGAAACCCTTTTTTTCCCCCCTCAATACTACAAAAGAGGCAAATATGTGGCTCGAAAAATTTTTAATTGTAGCAATTTGACTATTAAAATGAGGGGCAAGACAAGGAGAATATCTTAAACCAACTAAGATTCCGTCCCTATGAATTTGATAGGTAGGTCTAATTAAACCAAGTTGGTTGTCTTTTCAACTATCAATATATAGCTTTCTGTTGTTCCAACCTATAAGGTTTAATCCATTTGCAATGGTTTGAGTGCGGAGAGAGTTCGTGTACCAAATGGCATAACTAAGATGGCTTGTAAGTCTTTTTTGTGCACTATCAATTAATTAAGATGTATATACGTGTTGTCTTTTCATTTTATGAGCAACTTCATTCACAATACAAATTATAAAGGTGGTTTAATTTTGTTACAAAACATGTTTTTTTTTTTAAGAAACTAGTATGTCGCATTTCTTGAATATAGTAACATCATTTTATCAAATATTGATTCGGAAAAATACACTAATTTTGTGTATATAGAGCTCTAAAATATATTTACAAAAATAAATAATTAATGAAACAGGCAGATTAACTAACATCATTTCATCGTCCCAAAGCGTCAGCTCTCTATCCCTAGAGGGAGGGTCGATTTTATAAATTTGCCCCTTCTACACAGCCAGATATATATAGAGCACATGGCCTATTTATCAGTGGATTGCATTTGCTTTTACTTTGGTACAAGTTGTGCCGTGGCTTTTTCAACAAAGGAATATTTAGAATCAGTTGCGGTCAAATTACGTAAGATTTTGGGGCTACGACTTTGTTGGTTGTGGGCTTTGAAACTTAACCTCCATATTTTGCTTTGAAAAATTACATATTTTTAAAAAAGAAACGCTATGTCGGCCGGTTCAATACGTCTCGTTGAGAACCATTTCATCTTTCGGTACTAAAGAAAAACCAGTTTTTTCGAGTTAATGTACGTTTGTTTGCAGGTGTCAATCTGGCTAAACTGGTGAAAAGAAGGAAGAGATTATTATAATTATTATCACTGTTTGCAATGAAGAGCTCACTTCATGCTTGATATCTAGTTTTATTTTCATGCGGTGATTGCTTGGCTTCTTTATATTATATGTAATGTTTGAAGCAAAAAATTGTTGAGGCTAAGATAGATGTGATTTTAATTCAGAAAAGTGCCAAGTGAAACTATAAACTAGCATCAGCATGTCAAACGCGACACTCTTAAGTCGAAGCCTAAAATATCAGAAGCTTTTACTTTTATCGGATTAATTCAGCTATCAATCTCCAATCGAAAATGAAACAGAGTTGGATATATTGTTGCGAAACTGCAAATGCTTAAAAGTTAAAACCACACATTTATTTTGAGTACGTCTTAGGACATAAGAGTTTGTACTAACAAATGTGCAATACATATTCAGCCTTATTCTTAAATTGGTATACTAATCAACCTTTAATTCTTAACCATAAAGTTTATTAGTTGCACGAATCTTGAAGACGTCTGAGGTCAAAGGACACAAAGTGCAAGAACTGAGTTTCCGCTGGTCCAAGTTGGATGAAATAATTTAGCGAAGCCAATGGAGTATCCATTTCCAACAAACACGCATCCGTTGTTAGCAGAAGCCCCTCCATAAATAGTAGCACCCGTATCGTAACTCCAGATTATTTGCCCCGTCGTCGCGTCCATACCATAAAACGGACCATTTGGAGCGACTGAACCGGCGAAAAGGACCCCGTTGACAATGGTAACCGGCCCATTGCTCGTGTCGTTGCTGGGGTTTGCGGTGGTCCAGAGGATTTGGCCGGTGTTTGCATCCATGGCCACCCATGCTCCGGCGGTTGTAGTTTGTGTAGACGGTGCAAGGTTGAACGGAACCCTATCATTGTTGACAATGTTGGTGTAAACACGTTTCCCGTCCGTAGCCGCACCCCATATTCCTCCTCCGGCTACACTTCCTGGTCCTGCTTTCTGTAACAAAATTCATCTCAAAAAGCTTGCTAAGAATACACCCCAAAAAATTAAAGGTCTTTAGCAAATTATGGATAAATTACACAAATATCATATTTTGGTCAACTAAAACTTACTTCTCTCTGTCTTAAAATGATTGTCCAATTTTGAATAGTTTAAACTGAACTATCATTTCAGAACAGAGAAGTATGCCTAATACGTAATAATTAAATCTGATAGATACATAAAACTAAAGCACTTACCGTAAACCAAACGATATCACCATTATCACGATCTAGAGCCCATGCAAAGCCGCTTTTCTGTACAGCCACGGCAACGTCGCGTAATCTGCCGTTGGATTTTATGGTGATTAGCATGGGAGCCTCCCCGAAATCTGCATCGGGATTAGGTCCGGTGGGACAATCAGGGTTGTTGGGAACCAGGCAAGCAAAATAGAAAACATCATATCCCCCTAATCGCTTAGACCATCTAATCGTCCCAGAAAATAGATCGAACGCCACAATGGCGTCATAGTAAACATCCGGGGGAACACATGCATCGGGAGCAGTTGGCGGAGTTGTCTGATTATTTTGTGCTTCTTGACAATCCAGAACTTGTTGGGGTGCAGTGTAGAGATTTCCAGTTCCGACAAGAACAAGTCGCCGCCCTATATCAATGGCCGGGCTACTTCCCCATATGGCTGCACCCGAGTAGCCACCTAAGTTGCCGCCGTTGCCCGGGACGGTGTACGTTTGCCATAGAATTCTTCCGGTACGAGCGTCTAGATTCACCATGCTTCCGCGGAAAGTGCAGCATTGTGTAGCCGGTAGTGTTTCTTCTAACGACGAGACCCCTACATAGAATGAACTTTTCCAAAGCAAACAAGCCAGGCACCTATTTTCAGGATAGGAATTTTTTTTTCTCTAATTTGTAAATTTAACGTTAACACGCGTTCTCGATTTATCTTTGGTAGACATTTTAAAGCTTTTGGATAATAATACCAGATTAGGATATATCAAGTCATGAATTGTAATCCCTCCGTCCCATAATTAATGTCCAGTTTGGGGTTTTATTTCTAGTTCAAATTATACTAAAAGTGAAAACTTAAACTGTACAATAATTTTGGGACAGGGGGAGTAACTAAATTGGCGGATCACAAAACAAAAAAAATTGGGCATACAAAAGAAAAAAAAAAAAAAAAAGCCACTAACCCCAAGAAGTAGGTACCGGAGACGGTAATTATAGCACGAGGGTTAGGATCAAGCTGAGTGAGCCAGACAAGTTGTCCAGTTAATCGTCTCACGGCGATCACCACAGCGGGCCCATAAATCCCGACGATGAGAAGATCGCCTGCGATGGTGGGGGTGGATCTTGATACCGAAACATTCACGGCTGATCCAACCGGGGCCTGCAGCTGAGTCAGCTGGCCCAGATCTTGCTGCCAAATGAGGGATCCATCTTGTTCTCGCACCGCGTACAGGAACCCATTCCATGAAGGGAAGTACACTGCTCCGTTGAAAACTGCCGGAGTGGCTGACACATCAAACCCCGGCCTAAATCTCCATCGTAATCTCAGCTTGTTATTCTTCACCGACATTGGATTTATCAGAATTTCTCCGGCGGCATTTCTCCGGTTGGCTATGTCACCTCCATGATTAAGCCACTATCACCATATCAAACACAACCAATTGACTTAACTGGTGCTTCACTAACATCTCTCTCTCTCTCTCTCTCACACACACACACACACACACATCTTTCACTCATTTCAGTAATTGATGGAGTGGGTCGTACGTTTTCTTTGTTTTACAGTACCCCCGAGTTACGGGAAGAAATTCATTTCAACTTTTGGCCAGACTGAGTATTCAAAATTTATTTATATATAATACTCCCTCCATTCCAAAATAAGTGTCATTTTAGCAAAAGGGAGAAATTCAAAAATAAGTGTCGTTCTCACATTTCAATGCACTTTTTGTCAAAAGTTTCCAAAATTATTCTCAAAAGAGTTGATACTATTGGTGGATAATTTTATAATGGGGTTGGTTGAGGATATTCAAGTAATTTTATTACCCTATTTAAGAGTTTCTTAAACTATGTACAAAATATAGGACGGCACTTATTTTGTAATGGAGGGAGTACTAACATATATATTATCAAAAGGGAAGAAAGAAGAATATAAAAAGTGCACTCGCCATCTCAAAATTAACATCCATCATTTTTTTAATTTTTTTTTTCTTTTGTTGGAAGAAGAGATAAACTATAGTAATTACGTACCTCTGCTGTTGTATCTTGCACGAACACAAGTAAGCATACTGTCACGAGAAGGATAAATGAGTTATCACTGTGTCTCCGAAAGGAATGTACCACAGACATCGATCCACAGTTTTACCTCGATTTATCGCGAATTGAATAGGTGTGATTTAAATGTTGGAGGTTTGATTGAAACAAGCTAGAAGTCTGTCCCATGCATTCAAAATGGCCAAAATGAAGGTAAAATGATAATAAGTAATCAGCTATAATACTACTAATATCCTTGCGTGCTTAAATAGAGTGGGTCGTCCCCCTTGCAAATTAGTACTCCCTTTGTTTCAAAATTATTGTCCAGTTTGAGATTTCATTTTTAGTACAATTTGAATTAGAAATGAAAACTCAAACTGGACAATAATTATGGAACAGAGGAAGTACAACTTAAGTTGTGGAACAATTTTTCTCATCAGGTTCCCCAGCAAGTTGCAACTTGCCTCTTTGAGTGAATGGGTTGGGTTTTGATACCCAACACGGAATTGGAGCATATTTAAAAACTTTGACTAAATGTCACTGCTGTTGTCGAGGGGATTAGGTTGTAGTGTGTCACAATTGTGGAAAGTCACCTACTGATATTCCCCGAGGAGCGGATTACATTGTTTATTTTATTCTTTCTATCTCATTCTAATAGTCTAATTAATTTTAAAAAAATTAAATTGTAAAAATTGACTTTTTAATAGTATAATGGAATAAATGGATTAATAATGTCTAATTCGTTTGTTCATTATTTTTGTAACAATGTTTAGATGATCTATACTTCCTAAGTCTAACTTTGAAACTTTTTATTGTAGAAACTGGACTGCTGTATAGGATGAAAGTAGTATATCTAAAACCGCGGGCAAGACCAGCCATATGGATTTTATTTGGATGCTGTTGGGGGGCGGAAAACATTTTTTATAAGAAACGCTTGGTGGCTTGTATAGATTAATTTAATGATCTGCTATTAAGCATCAATACCGTAGTTGAAATATAAAGTTATCGATGTTGTTTATTTATATAATACTTTAATTTAATTTCCATAAAGTTAACTTTTTTTCTTTGTTAGAAAAATATTAATGGGTTTCTTTTGTTGGATTCGTCATTGTAACTAATTTATCATCTGTTTGCAATGAATACAAAACCATATCAAGGTTCAATGTTGTCAATTTAAGAAATGGTAACTAACTGGTTCGAATTCCAAAATTATTTTGCCCATTCTCTTAATAACCACCCTAGTGAGCCCTAAAATAGGTCCGTCCTGCTCACCTACAATTAGGCAGGCTATACATGAAGGGCTAGTTGGTTTTCAATGGATTACATTTGCTATGCTTTTTGTCCTTTGTAACACTGTCAGCAACGGAATTACCCTCACATGCGGTCAGATTACATGAAATTTTGGGGCTAGCAATTTGGTTATGGTGGGGTATGATTCTTTGACTTGAAGAATTAATCCACATAAATTGCAGTGAGAACTTACAAGTTTTTGATATGCTCATAATTTACCTATTTTTAATATCCTTTTATGTGAAATTTTTCTAATATTTTGAGTATAAATGTGCTATTTATGTGATTTTATCTTTAATTGTAGGAATTGTACTCTGTTGGAGGAATTATTGAAATTGTGAGTTAAAATGAAGATAAAAGTAACTCAAAGGGAGAATTGAAGATTTGATAACTTGACAAGGAAGAAATTGACGTACTTGAAAAATTAGAAGATTAAACAAGCAATTGTTGAATTTTTGTTTTTGGAAAATTGGCCGAGAGTTCAAGGATTTGCGGTTGATTTGGGATTTAATTTGGGTAAGAATTTTAATCCAAATATTATTTGGGAAACAAGTTTTCTTCCTCTTCAAAAAATAGGATTTTGACGGAAGCCTATAAAAGAAGAATTAAGGATTTATTTTTACAACAAAACTTGACCGAAAATTCACCGAAATCCTACGATTGCCGCCGACCTCCACCTTCACCTTTTTGCCGCTGCAACTTCCTCCACTCCCGTCATCACCACCGCAGCAACCAAGCACCACCATCTCTTCACTTCATTGCTTCCTCTCCTCCATCCCCACGAAGCAGCCAGCAGCACCCCCATTAATCACCACCATCACTTTTCGTCATCATCACCAGCAGCCAAGTCCACCCCACGCACATCATCACCACCCTGCTTCTATCCTTCCATCACCGAACCAGCAGCTTACCATCTCATCACCTTACGCATCAACACCATCCGCCTTGAACGTCCAGCAACCGAGGAGAAAAGCTTCCGAACGGGGAGAACCGAAGCAAGCTGAAGCCTTGAATTGAATTGATTTATGCTTTCGGTTTCGGCGGAGTTTTCCAGGTTTTATTGCTTTTGTTTTATTTATTAAATTTCAGAATTAAGGATGATGTTTCTAAATATTATTGAATTATTTTTGATAATATTTAGTGGCTAAATTCTTTTAATCTAAGGCTTGTGTGTAGTCACCGAATTTATTTAGTTTATTTGGTTCATTATTATTTGATTTTTCCATTAATCAATATTTAATATTCTTGCTTTTATTCCATCTTTGTAACTGGCCACTATTTGCATGTTTAAAGATATTAATTGATAGAACGACAGTGAATAGTTCTTAATTAGGTGAATCATTGTGAGATTAATTGAGGTTAAAAGTCAGATATTTGTGAATTGAACTAAACTAAATATTCGGTAGGTGAACCCAATGTCCTAGGTTTTTTTTGTCTGATTATTTGAATTAATATTATTGCTTTTATTTATTTTAGTTTTAAATTTTAAAAACTGAGATCATCATTTATCTAGATAATAATAGGAGTAATTTATACCTGGTAATTAGTATTCTTTCTCTGTTGGATCGACCATGCTTGCTACTTTACTACTAGTAATTGTATTAAGTAGGTAATTATTATTTGACTTGTGTGACGACGGTTTGTCAGTTTCTCTTAGAATCTTTCTACGTACCGGCCGATTCAATTCGAGCTAATTAATGGCTTGGGTGCTTCTGGAACATACAGTTAATTAAGTTATTAATGGCTTGGATGCTTTTAAATGTATGTTAATTTGCCGGTAGTAATCAATCATTGTCACATTTTGACATTATATATGTACTTCTACTACAACCATTAAATCTAAAGATAGATAACTAATAAATTATCACGTTCAGTTTGTAATAAATTATGTCAGGCATATATATATATGTATATATATATATATATATATGTATATGTATATGTATATGTATGTGTTAACTCAATGTCACGAGCTAAGCACATGTTCACATCATGCTATGGTTTTACTCTAGCATCTATTACTTTGAATTATCTATTTAATTTACATCATTCAGTTTTTAAATTTCTTCAATTACCTCAATATGCAGTCAATTGAAATTCTTGAATTCATGCAGCTTGAGAAACCGTTAATTGCATATTTATATATTGTTCGTTGGTTTAATTAAGGTTTCGTGATTACCACAATTTTGTTCTTATAAATATTTATTTCAATCGTTTAATCCCTCATTATAATTACTTATGTTTCTTCATAAGATTTGTTTTTGTATTTGTCAATCAATTTCTTGAAACTTTCGAGTTTGGGTATGTGTTAATTCATTGCATTAGTAAAATGTACACGCATATAGATTCTTTCTTAATATACGTTAGTAGAAACACAAAACCTTGTTAAATTTGAAGAGAAATAATATTTGTCCAAACTATAACTTCTAACATTATTGAGCTGACTTTTAACCTCCAACGAAAACTGGGAGGGATACCCAGATCACTGGAGATAGCTAGCTGGTCCAAGAGTGTCCAACCTAGCTACAATTTTTTTGGAAGTTTTCATTCCAGTAATTGCTTGGGTGTTTTGCGTGCTGTGTGGGATACGCAAACAGGATATCTCTTTTCTAAATGAGTGTATGGCATAGGTATTTTGATTCAGTTGCTACGTGACAATACGTACAACTTTTGATCAGATGCATTGTAAGAGACTAATTTTATTTGGAAGAAGTCAAATGTCAAGTTATCTGTGTTGTGATTATCGCTACAGTATCTACTCCTCTCTCCTAAAATGGTTTTTCTATTTGAAATTTTATATTTATAATACAAGTTATGTTAAGAATGAAAATACAATCATTTGAAGGGTGATTGGAGTTAGTTATTGAGACTTCGATTAATAACATTCAACAGGAGCTTCAATGGCGCATCATGAGTAGTTGCTGTAGATTTAGAAGCGGAGATAGAAAGTATCTTCAACACACACAGTTTGTTTTGGTATGCTATGTTTATTTACTGGATATTAGTACTGAGACGTACATTTAATCCTCCAAGTTGGATTGGGATAGTTTAAGCCCAGACAAGCTGGCAGCGAAACTGGCATACCGCCCAAGAACCAACTGGGACTAGCCCAGAGAGACTGGTATTCCTGCTCACAACTTATGGTGTCTCCCCTTGGGACTGGATTGGGATAGTTATGATCTATTAATCTTTTGTTCTCATATACTCTATGAATTATATTATATACAAAAAGCCACAAATGTTAAATAGGGGAGAGATGGGTTGGGATTTTAAATTAAAGAACACAGAAAGCAAGAACAGAATTCCCAGTGGTCCAAGTTGGGTTAAATGTGGCGAAGTTGACGGAATATCCATTCCCAATAAACACGCATCCGTAGCTAACTGAAGCTCCTCCATAAATAGTAGCACCCGTGTTGTAACTCCAAATTATTTGCCCAGTTTTGGCGTCCATAGCATAAAAGGGACCGTCGGGAGCCACTGAACCGGCAAAAACGACTCCGTTGACTACGGTGACAGGCCCACCGCTGATGTCGTTACTGGGATTTGCGGTGGTCCAAAGAATTCGGCCGGTGTCAGCATCCATACCAACCCATGCGCCGGCGGTTGAGGTTTGATTAGAGGGCGCGAGGGTGAAAGGCAGCCTAGCGCCGTTGGCAATGTTGGTGTAAACTCGTCTCCCATCTGTAGCCGCACCCCATATTCCTCCCCCTTGAACACTTCCCGGTCCTGCTTTCTGTGACCAAAATTCATGTATCTTTTTAATTTTAAGTCCAAACATACATTACTCTACGAATTGATTAACCACAGCTCCATCCATTCACGCGTAACATTAATTGATTAATAGTCTTGTTGAACTTAGTGACTAAATATTAAAAAAACTAAAAAAACTCACAGTAAACCAGACAATATCACCATTGTCACGATCGAGGGCCCAGGCAAAGCCACTCTTCTGCACAGCCACGGCAACGTCGCGCAATCTGCCGTTGGATTGAATGGTGAGGAGCATGGGCGCCTCCCCGAAGTCTGCATCAGGATTAGGCCCCGGCGGACAATCAGGGTTATTGGGATCCAGCAGGCAAGCAATGTAAAAAACATCATATCCCCCTAATCGCTTGAACCATCTAAATAGCCCTGTGTTTATATCAAACGCCAGGATGGAATTAAAGTGAACATCCGGGGGGACACACGCATCGGGAGCAGTTGGTGGGGTGGTCTGATTATTCTGTGCTGCTTGGCAATCTAGAACTTGTTGTGGTGCACTGTAGAGATTGCCGGTTGCCACGTAAACGAGTCGCCTCCCGATATCGATCGCCGGGCTACTTCCCCATATGGCCGCCCCCGAATAGCCTCCTAAGTTCCCGCCGTTGTCTGGGACGGTATACGTTTGCCATATGATTTTTCCGGTACGAGCATTGAGTTTCGCCATGCTTCCCCGGAAAGTGCAGCATTGGCCTACTGGCAACAATTCTTCTAACGAGGCCACTCCCACGTAGTATGCCCTTTTGCATACACAGATAGAAAATATTTCAGGTTCCGAAACTTTTGCAATTACTAAATGAATTTGGAGATTTTTTTTTTTTAAAAAAAAAAACTGCAATGAAATGATTATGGTACGTCATCAAATAATTCATTTTACTACATCAATTACTCTTGTCAAAATTAACTTAAACCACAACTTTTTTAGGGATTGATTTTCTTTTTTTAAAAAAAAAATGTAACTACGATGGTAATAGCACAACCTTGGGATGCATTTTTAATAAATAGCAATTGACTAATGTTACCCCATGTAATACGTCCCAGATGTTGTGATCACAGCACGGGGATTAGGATCAAGTTGAGTGAGCCACACAAGTTGTCCGGTTAATTGTTTCACGGCGATCACCACTGCTGGCCCATAAATCCCAACAATCAGCAAATCGCCTGCGATGGTGGGGGTGGATCTTGATACCGAAACATTCACGGCTGATCCAACCGGAACCTGCAGCCCGGTGAGCTCCCCGAGATTTTGCTTCCAGATGAGCGATCCATTGTGTTCACGCACCGCGAACAAAAACCCATTCCATGAAGGGAAGTACACTGCCCCGTCGAATACTGCCGGGGTGGCTGTTGTGTCAAACCCCGGCCTAAATCTCCATCTTAACCTCAACTCCCTGACCACCGTTTTTGGATTTATGAAAATTTCTCCGGCAGCATTTCTCTGATTCCTGATGTCACCTCCATGATTAAGCCACTACATATTGACAATGCAATTACAACACAAGATATTTGACTTTGATTAATACTCCTAGATTGCTAATTAATTATGACTATTGACTAAGCAACAGTGCGAGATCCTGGAACGACAATTATAGGATCAAACTGAGTAATAAAAAGCTCGATCCTTTATTCTAATTAAAGGTAAGAAATTATGAGTTACAAACATATATATATATATATTATTGGAAGTGATAAATTGTAAGGTACCTCCGCTGTTGTAATTGTCGCAAGCAGAAATAAACATACTGTGACGAGAACGATAAATTGGTTGCCATGTTTTCTCCAAAAGGAACAAACCACCGAGATCGTCGTCATGACTATTAACTAGTTTAACTGTCCAGTTAAATTGTTTGAGACACTGCTAGGCACTAGCTACTCATTTGTACGTACAGTATTTACTGTTGAGTACTTGGAGCAAATCGCCACACCTTGTAATTACCGTTTGTGAAACAACGTTTGCTGCAACTTTGCCTCACTTTTTTTTTTTTTTTTTTAATGCGAGAGAAAGGTAGTCTTCAAAACACAAAGCCCTTTGGAATCATGTGGAGAGGTCGTTAAACAAAGTTCAGGGGCTAAAAACTTACTAAAAATAGGTTGTGGGCTAGTGCTGTCAATCTATCAAAAGCTAGCATTCCTTGTATTTGACGTACATACTACAATTCACGTAATATATCAATTTGCAATGTTCTGTCTGACAAAATGCCATCACGTAAATATATCCATTTGGATTTCTTTTCAAAATCGAACTGTCATAAATAGTAAGTTAGATAGTTGAATGTCTCGGCACTATCAAAAGATACATATAACCTTCCCGTCCATAAGACCCTAAGTACAAAGTTTATCCACATTATCAGTATTGGATGCACACTACCTCAAATGAATTACTCACTTTCTCCTTAGAATGATTGTTCATTTTGAATCTTTACTTTTAATATAAATAATTATGGAAGAGGAGTATTAAATATGCACGTTTTAAACTATCTATTTTTTTGATCCTGGATTGTATACTCAATACCAAGTCATCAACAACTAAATCAGTAATCAAATTTAATCCAATTTCAAACTGAATTGAGTTGAGTCCCCGACCCCCAAAAAAAAAAGATGTTATGAAAACAATTGGGCAACGTCTAATTTCTATCAATTAATCACCGTATCCAAAGGATGGACAACTCAAGTTGGTGACATCTATAGCACCTTGATCTCGAGGGTCTAAATTTCTTCTACTTATTGCGATCTAATTAACCACCCTAGCTAGACCTACGCCCTCACCTAGGCCTGTTTGGCATGGGTTTCTGTAGTTGTAACTTCCATTTGCAAATTTAATAATTTTAATTTCGTCATTTTTGTTATGGCATATTGTCAGCATGCAACGGAAACTCTTCATCCATGCTGTGATGTCAACCATGACCTCAAGAAAGCACAAATCATTGAATGATTACCACTACTTTCCAGGGCAATTTTTATTGTGCACCCTGTTCACAAAAAATGGTGCTTTGATTTTCCTGTTTGTAAAATACGCAAGAAAAAAGTGAGTGAATTTCCATAACTTGTTTAAAATTCTTTCACGATTCAAGTCAATCAATTCCTTAAATGATTCAATTTTTCTATTTTTCTCCTAAAAATAAATTATTTCTATAATTGATTGATTTCTCTCTCTAAATCAACCGTGTAAATTAATTCTAATTCAAAAGTTACCATAACAACTTAATATGAATATCGGGAACCATACTTATGAAAAGTTTGATCAATCATCATGAAAATGTAAAAGTACGATGAATTCTTTTACAATACATCATGAACATTATGATATGATATCTTGAATGTATGTGGTATTATGATAAATCTGGGTTTAGGCCAACCTGAAAAAAATTTATTAATAATTTATTAAAATAATTAAAATATATTAATAATTTATAATTAACGCAACTGAAAAAAAAATTTATATTAATAATTTATTAAAATAATTAAAGAAGTTAGGCCAACCTGAAACTTCTATAATTTAGGTTCAAATATGGAATTGAGTTAAAATACTATATTGATGAGTTGATGTAGCGGGGCTAAATATTGGGCTCTTAATTTTTAGTTCCTTTTTTTCCTGAATAGAAGTCTATATATATTATAGTAAAGTAAACTCCAGAGAGAGAAAATCTAAGGTATCGTATCATGCCACATATGACTAAATCTTATGTGGTAAATTTATGATTTTTTGAACCAGATTTTAAAATTATTTTCTTAAAAAATCTAACTTTAATTCGAAAAAAAAATGAGCATGATGGATTTGACATTTGCGAAAGTGACTAGAAAGATATTAATGAAGAAAAAAATGGTAAATGATATTCTTTAAGGGTAAAAAAATAGTCCCACCCTCACATTTTAAATAAAATATTTCTGACAACGGGTAAGTTAATTAAAGATAAATTAGTAGATAGGTAATGAGAAATAACTAAATCAAACGAACAAATGAGGCTAAAAAATAAAAACGAAGGAAAGTGAGAATGCATCATATTTAAAAATAATAATAAAATAAAAACACTGAAAACAAAAGTCACGACGAGACAAGGAATAAAGGTCCTGATATCTAACTTTTTTTATTTTTCTTATTAAAAAATTAGATGACCTCTACAACAGGTTAGGGTTGTTGTTTCTGTAGTAACCATTCCTTATCATAAACCTTTTCAAAAAAAAAAAATTCCTTATCATAATCTCTTAACCACCCTAACTAACCTTTCCACCCCAGACTACCAATGTAGTCTACGAAGAAATATTGCAAGATATTTAATTATTTAATTCAAAGTTCATTTTTTTTAATTTCTTAACAATCTTTTTTGCGTTAAATAAATTACCAGAGTATTCGTTTGGTAAAGTGTTGTCGATGTTTGTATTTTATATTTTTCAATGAATTCATTATATATTTTATAAAATACAAAAATGTATACAAATATTAACATTTTTTTGATTTGTTTGTGTAGTAATGTTTATGTATATGTGCTCTCCGTCCATCGGACGGGTCTAACACCTAGTTGTGTATTATATTACTTTCATTCAGCAATTTTATTTTTTATTTTTCTTAGGACGAATGATAGTACTACTGAAATCACGAAATTGCCCACGCCACGCCAATGAACGAGAATTAGGAACATTGTAGCCATTACTCTCTCATTATTATAAGAGTATTTGCTCTTTACTTTTTTTAACAAAATATAGTTCAACCATTTAAAAAAAAAAAAAAACACACACACACACACACGCACACAAGAAGAAGGAAATACTAAACAGATGAATCTCATCTTAATGGAAACAGTAAACTATAGTGTCGCCTAAAATTAGGTTAAACGCAGAAAGCAAAAACGGAATCTCCTCTGGTCCAAGTAGGGTGGAACTTAGCCAAATTAACGGAATATCCATTCCCAACGAAGACGCAACCATAGCTGGCGGACGCGCCTCCGTATATGGTTGCGCCAGCGTTATAACTCCAAATGATTTGCCCAGTCCGAGCATCCATTGCATAGAAAGGGCCTTTAGGCGCTACAGATCCGGCAAACAGGATCGCGTTGTTGACTATGGTAACGGGTCCCGGAGCAGTCTCGTTGCTAGGGTTGGCGGTGGTCCACAGGACTTGGCCGGTGTTGGCATCTAAAGCCACCCAACCGCCGCTAGTGGTGGTTTGAGTAGAAGGCGCCAGGGTGAAGGGCTGTCTAGCTCCGTTTACGATGTTGGTATAGACCCGGATCCCATCAGTTGCGGCGCCCCATATCCCCCCTCCTTCGTTACTTCCCGGTCCAGCTTTCTACAAGAACAGTCCACATTACTAATATTATTATAACTTTAAAAAAAAAATCATCTAGCTAGCTTTAATTATTGAAAAAAGAACTTGAATATTTAACTTACTCTAAACCAAACGACTTGACCATTGTCACGATCAAGCGCCCATGCAAAGCCACTTTTCTGGACAGCTACCGCTACGTCACGCCTCCTTCCGTTAGAGACAATAGTAAGAAGCATGGGAGCCTCTCCGAAATCGGCATCAAGATTAGGTCCCACGGGACAATCCGGGTTGTTAGGAATCAAGCACGCAAAATTAAACACGTCATAGCCGCTCAATCTCGTAGCCCATTTGATCTGCCCGGACCTTATGTCAAATGCTATGATCGAATCGTAATGGACGTCCGGTCCGATACAAGGATTAATATCAATTGGTGGCGTGGTTTTGTTACTTAAGGCTGCTTGACATCTTTGTACTTCTGCCGGCGCGTTGTATAATTGTCCGGTTCCTACGTAAACGAGCTGGCGCACCGGGTCGATGGCCGGACTACTTCCCCATATGGATGCCCCGGAATAGCCTCCCAATCGGCCGCCATTGTCGGGAATCGTGTAGGTTTGCCATAAGATGGTGCCAGTCCGTGCGTCTAGCTTGACCATGCTACCTCTGAAAGTGCAGCATGGTGAGCCTGGTTGAGTGTTTTCTAGGGATGAAACTCCAACATAATATGCCCTGCATTATATTACCGAAACTAGTAAATGCTCTTCAGCGCAAAATCTTATTGTTTTTAATTAAGTCATTCATGTTGACAAAATTGATGCATCTTAACTTTATGAGATGTTGACCAAATTAATTCATTTCTTTACTTAAGGATTTGGTAAAATCGGGTCTAAAGTTATACTTTATCCCCTTATAATGGCCACCCCTAGAAACAAACCAGACAAAATTATACTCCCATATCCTAATATGTAATGCTATAATGGTCCCAAGGGGGGAAAAATCTGACGAAATCATGCTCTCAATATAATGTGTAAATTAGAGTGTCATGGTTTGAGCAAAAAAATTCTTCCATGACCTCCTTACTGAAATGAAATTTGCAAAATTTAAAAGAACAACAAGAATAATAATTATAAGCAGCCTAATCGTTTTAAAACTATAAAACAGAAGGTTTTAGATACGAACTAATCAAAACTAGATCATTTGGGGGGATTAATTATGGAACTCACCCCAGGAAATAAGTTCCGGATGCTGTTACGACTCCAAGAGGAATAGGGTCAAGGCGAGTCAACCAAACAAGTTGGCCAGTCAACCGTGTCACGGCCATCACATAGGCCGGCCCGTAAATTGACACGATCAAAAGATCACCGGCCACCGTCGGAGTGGCCCTTGACACCGTCACGTTCACACTCATCCGAGCCGGAGGCAGCCCAGTTATCGCTCCGATGTTTTGTTTCCAGACGAGGGCTCCATTTTCAGCACGGACCGCGTACAAAAAGCCATTCCAAGAAGGGAAATAGACTACTCCATTGGCCACTGCTGGGGTGGCTGATATGTCAAACCCGGCAACGAATCTCCATTTCAGGCTTAATCTTGGAGCAGTGATTGGGTTGATCTTTAATTCTGCTGGGGCACTGCGTCGATTGTTTAAGTCACCTCCATGATTGAACCACTGTGAAGAGGAGGGAAAAAAAATGAGCAAGAGAATTCAATTTTGTGCATAAATTCCAGCTAACTGATTTAACTCAACAAAATATCATTGCACTCATAATATTGATCAACATGTGAAAGGAAAGTTGAAAATTTATAGCTACCTCTGCAGTTGTGTGACCCGCGAGAATTGTTAAGCAAAGTGTAAACAAAATGAAAATTCGATATTGATTGTTAGTATTATCCCCAATTTTAATCTGAAAGAGATGGATTAAAGCCATCTTGGTTTCAAAGTATATGTTGCGTCAATGTTTAAGTTAAACTCTCTTGTGGAGGTTATGAGTTTAATTTATAACTACGGAATCCAAACTTTTAAATATTTTATGTAATATTTTATCAAAGTGATGAGAATTTGCCTAAGGTGTTGCGAGTGGACTTTAATATCTTATTGGATTTTCTTTTTAGTTTCCTGGATTTCGTTCCCTGGTAGCAATGTTTTTTGTGTTTTTTTTCTTTTGTGGAAAAAATCAATCGCCTAACTAATTAACATACTAATTAATCAGCGCCACTAGTTCCCCAAAAATTGCAAACCAAAGAGAAATAGGATAAAATGCGACGAAATTCGATGATACAAAATTCAACTACATGGAATTCGTCCCCCCAAAAAAAAGGAGTGAAATTAATTATGGGACTTAATTTTTTATTTTTTTTTTGCAGATGTCCTCCTTTTTAGTAATAAGTTGTCATTATATGTAAGTTGTTAATGTTTGGTAATGACAATTATTCGTATATTTACTTACACCTGTTATGAACACACAAGCCGTATTCTTCCATATTCTGTTTTGAGTGATGTTTGGATGAGAGTTGAATTTGATGTAACGTAAGCATGGGATGATAGTTTGGTCAAATCTTTAGAGATTCCATTCCAAAGAAGAGGTTGAGTTTCTTTTATCTGATATCCATATTTCAACCACACCCCACAGAGATCAGGTTGCCAGAAGCATTCATATATGCGCACTGCAAAGTAAACCTATTGCCCATCCAGAAAGTAGCAACTTTTTTTTTTTGTTAATAAAGGTTGAAAACTTTTCCAACGGCTTGGACTTATGTATGTACACTTCTGTCTTACGGATTTTATTGTAATAAGCGAGACAATAATTTTTTAATCAAGAATTAAAAAAAAAAAATCATCATGAATCGCCTTTTTATTTCCTTCAGAAAAATGTTAAATAAACAAGTATCCTTTTTTTGTGCACCCTGCAAATATGCTTTATCATCATGTTATGATCACAGTGAGTTGCAATGAATAAGCCGCTATTCAAGAGACAGTGTGAAGCAAAAAAACAGAAATTCATTAATAGAAGCTGAAATATTAATGAGTACAACGGAAAAAATCTAGCCTAGGGATTGGAGGAACCCATTCAGTTGCTCCCCCCTAATAATTGTGCCTTGTATCTTAGAGGGAAAAGTTTGATCACATGTGTTATCACAATTCATCCATAGTTTGTTTAACTTGTAACAGTATTTATGGGGTGATCTCGTTATAATTATTTAAACGGATCGCAAAATTGGGTGTGTGTACACTGTCAAATTTATTTCCCCTTTTGTTTGGGGTGGGAGGGTTGGGTGGGGTGATTAGGGGATTCGGATATGGGATGATTATTACCAGGAGGTCGAGGGTTCGATTCTCACTAGGACTATCCAATTTTTGAAAAAAAATATAAAAAATTTTCCCTTTTGTTTGGGCATCGACAAATAAACTGCGCCCAGCAGCTGCTACAAGTTTTGCTCTGTTGTGTGGTATTAACTTTGCTGCTCAATTCATAGGGTTGGCTTGGTATCGACTTTTGGTCCATCTCCATTAATAGAACTTTGAATGGAGGCTACAATGAAACTGAGATCGGTCAATGGAATCATGGCACTACTCTAAAGCCTACGTGCTGACGTTTACACTCTAGCCAAATGAATTCCCGGAACAGAACATAACATAGTTGTGATGGTTTGCAATCTCAAAATTCAGTGCTCATCCGTCTATAAAATAATCATGTTTGTTGAATTGAAATAAACGTATTTTAGGAAAGAGAGAGACAATGAAGAGTTTATTAATTAAGTTTGAATATGTCTATTTTTTTCCCTCTAAAAATTGCAATCCGTACACATAATTGTTCACGATTACATATTGGTAATGGGGTCAATTTAATTATACATAGATGTTATTTCTTAAAATTGTTAAATGTGTGTTTTGGTACCTTAAAGAATTGCTCAGTTTCAAAATGTGTATACTTTTTTTTTCTTTTTTTTTTTTTTTTGTGGGCTGAGGAAAACTGGGGCTATACAGACAGCCTGACTTGTTATTTCGGAACTCTGAAGGGGAAAATGGCATGATGAACCTGGTCCATATTTTGTGTTAAATGGAGCGATTCGGGCCTGACGCATGCCTCCCTAATCTCCTATATAAATTCCTCAACTGGAATGATATTCAGATATTCTGAAATTTTTTATTTTTAATTTTTTTTTGTCGAATCAGATATTCTTAATTAAATCCACCTGCATATACATATATCAATATCAAGGTGTGAAAGACCTTCCATTGATTAATTTAATATATTTTGGGCAATTAATCCTTATATTTTTACGTTTATATTTCGGTCAATTTAGTTTGTAGTTAGCCGCAAAAATGTTGTTTAGTTTGATGATGAATCAGTCACTACACGTACAATTTAATAATACGGTTGAAAAACCAAAGTAATCATTCAAAATTAAATGGAGCACCTTTATTGTCTCTAAATCGATTCATTACAAATTTCCATTTGATAAGGTAAAACGAATTTCATTCCTCCGCTTTCGTCAGAGAAAAGTAAAGAAAAAAGCGAGAAGATAGAGGGAACAAAAGGCACACACACACATTTGACCACAAATGCCAGTCACAAAATATTCCCCTCAATCTTGCATGTTTCCCTCATTTCCATCTAGATTCAATCTGCAAAAATCCGAAGCGAATCAAGGGTTCAGTGAATCAGTGTTGAAGAAGAGCTAGCTGCTTGCAACTCGGAATACTCTATAAATTCTACGGAAGGTAACTTCACCATAACAGCTAGACCATGCATGAAGTAAGCAACTAGCAGCTGGGGGCTTTTCTTATGATTAGTGATGTCGGTTGTCATCATCAGGTGGTTTCCCCAGAGTTCCCCTTTAACGCTTCATGAAGGAATAGTACTTCTGAAACTAGATTAAAAACAACAATATTTCTGATCACGACGTACTATTTCCTGCTGAAGTGTTTGGGGGAACTCCCGGGATCACCTAATGTTTTTATATGCAAATGTTAATTACTTAAGGTTCTCAATTTCTTCGATGATGTTCACCCGCGCGCATTAAGGTTTGGAATACTGTTATACGAGCGGAAATCTGCGCCCCACCAGTTGTGTTATCTTGAGAAGAAGGGGGTGGGGGAAGAGGGAGGGTCCTTAATATAAAGTATTTTAATTTGTCCTAAATTTCACTTAGTATGTTTTTTTAATTGACAAAAAAACTTTAAAAATATATTTTCACATTCGTTGTGTTATCCTGATTGTTATGAAATATTTTTAAAGTTTTTTCGCCAAATAAAAATATGTACAAGGTAAAATATAGGACAACTCAGAATGTCTTAGATTAAGGACCGGAAGGAAGGAGTATTATTTACCATACTTACTTAAGAAAAAATCTAATTTGATTGTTAGATCTTCAAATAACAACTTCTGAGTTGTTGAAAACCAAATTGATACTGTGTTTATTATTTACTTTCTCTGTGCTAAAAAAATTATTGATATTGACTTTTAAGATTTGAACGGAAGGGCATCATTTTCATCACAATAGCAAAATGATACTAATCTTATATCTCGTTTTTAAAATTCAATTACATGAATTAGGATTTTTTTTTCCGGCCGCATGTATGGGGGACAATTTGTGAGGTACATTGTCCTATTGTATTTATCGGGAAATTAATTGATCATGGTTAAAAACAAAAAACGCAAAATCAAGACTTGATACTATGTGATATTCTCTTCATTTCAAAAAAAAAAAAAAAAACAGTTAACACTTAATTTTAAATTTGTATTGTTTTTAGTAAAAATCTTAAAATTGACTATTTTTTCGGGACAGAGGGAGTAATATTTAATCCGTGAAATATCGTATCATTAAGTATATGTTATTGAAAATTAGAAAAATATATATAGCAGCTAGCCAGTAATATCAGGCCTTGCCCTTTATTTGTAATAAAGAAATTGTATGGACGAATCTCATATAAGTGGGGAATATTTGGCTAAGGCTGGGTTAAACACAGAAAGCAAAAACGGAATCTCCTTGGGTCCAAGTAGGGTGGAATAACTTGGCCAAATTAACGGAATATCCATTCCCAACGAAGACGCACCCATAGCTGGCGGAAGCACCTCCGTAAATGGTTGCGCCGGTGTTATAACTCCAAATGATTTGACCAGTCCGAGCATCCATTGCATAGAAAGGACCATTAGGCGCTACCGACCCGGCAAACAGGATCGCGTTGTTGACTATGGTAACGGGTCCCGGAGCAGTCTCGTTGCTAGGGTTGGCGGTGGTCCACAGGATTTGGCCGGTGTTGGCATCTAAAGCCACCCAACCGCCGCTAGTGGTGGTTTGAGTAGAAGGCGCCAGGGTGAAGGGCTGTCTAGCTCCGTTTACGATGTTGGTGTAGACCCGGATCCCATCGGTTGCGGCTCCCCATATCCCACCTCCTTCGTTACTTCCCGGTCCTGCTTTCTATACGTAACGTATATAGTACGTCCAAATTACAATAACATTAATTAGTATTCCTAAAATTTCATTCAATATATTTTTAATCGCAAGTGAATATACCTGATAATTTCGTGTGTAAAAGAATACTTTCGAGAAGATTTCATCCCAATGAACTAACCTGAAACCAAACGACTTGACCGTTGTCACGGTCAAGCGCCCATGCAAAGCCACTTTTTTGGACAGCCACCGCCACGTCACGCTTCCTTCCGTTGGAGACAATGCTTAGGAGCATGGGGGCTTCTCCGAAATCGGCATCAATGTTAGGTCCGACGGGGCAATCCGGGTTGTTTGGAATCAAGCACGCGAAATTGAACACGTCATAGCCGCTCAACCTCGTTGCCCATTTGATCTGCCCGGAATTAATATCAAACGCTATGATGGAATCGTAGTGAACCTCAGGTCCAATACAAGGATTGATATCAATTGGTGGGGTGGTTTGGTTGCTTAAGGCCGCTTGGCATCGTTGGACTTCAGCCGGCGCGTTGTATAGTTGCCCGGTTCCTACGTAAACGAGCTGGCGGAGAACGTCGATGGCCGGACTACTTCCCCATATGGATGCCCCGGAATAGCCCCCCAATTGGCCGCCGTTATCGGGGATCGTGTAGGTTTGCCATAAGATGGTGCCAGTACGTGCGTCTAGCTTGACTAGGCTCCCTCTGAAAGTGCAGCATGGTGAGCTTGGTCGAGTGTTTTCCAGGGATGCAACTCCTACGTAATATGCCCTGCATATTAATTACCCGAACTAGTTAATGTTCATCAGGGCAAAATATGTAGTTGTTCTTAATTGATGATGTTCATGATTCAGTTTTCCAATCTCCAATTTCATTTTTTATTTTGGTTAAAATAAAAAATTACAATCCAAGTCACCAGTTATAAGGCGTATTTTACTCTCCCGAAGTCAACGAATTAGTAATGGCCTAAAAAATATCACACCAAAGTTATACTCGTAACGTTCCTCCTGCCAAAATTAAAATTTTTTAAAAAAATTATTCAGTTTACTGTAACTAAACGTGCAAAATTTAAATAAATATTACTGACAAGGATAATAACTATCAGCCGCCAAAATTCGTTTTAAAACTATAAAAGAAATGTAAGTTTAGACACGAACTAATTACTAAAATTAGTGTGATTTGGAAGATTAACCAACTCACCCCAGGAAATAAGTTCCGGATGCGGTTACGACTCCAAGGGGAAGAGGGTCAAGGCGTGTCAACCAAACCAGTTGACCAGTCAACCGTATGACGGCCATCACGTAAGCCGGCCCATAAATTGACACAATCAAAAGATCTCCGGCAACCGTCGGACTGGCCCTCGACACTGTCACGTTCGACATCGGAGGCGGAGGCAGCCCAGTTACAGCTCCAATGTTTTGTTTCCAGATTAGGGCTCCATTATCAGCACGGACCGCGTACACATTTCCATTCCAAGAAGGAAAGTAGACCACTCCATTGGCCACAGTTGGGGTGGCTGATATGTCAAACCCGGCAACGAATCTCCATTTCAGACTTAATCTTGGAGCTGTGATCGGATTAATCTTTAATTCTGCTGGGGCACTTCGTCGATTGTTTAAATCACCTCCATGATTGAACCACTATGAAGAGGAGGAAAAAAAATGATCAAGAGAATTTTTAGGCAAAAAATATATGTATAATTTGAGCTTTCTGTTTAGACTCAACCAAAAATCATTTCATGCTTGATCAACGGGAGAGAATATAAAAATAGAAAATTGTAGTTACCTCCGCAGCTGTGTGACCCGTTAGAATTGTTAAGCAAAATGTACACAAAACGACAATTCTATTATTCACCATTTTAGTCGGCAATAGATGAAATAAAGCCATTGGCTTCAATGTATATGTTGCTCAATGTTAGCTCTCGGTACATGGAGGTTATGATTTACGAGTTTCATTTATAAGTACGGAATATAATTTTTTTTAAGTCTATAATTCTCATATTCTCTGATGTTATATCAACGTGAATGGGGCGCTTTTGGCAAAAAAAATAAAATAATAATAATAATAATAAAATTAAATTAAATTAAATTAAAAAATGCGGCGCAAGGTGTTGCAAGTGGTCTTCAAAAATTATTTATTTTATTGCATTAAACAAAATAATTTACTAAAAAAATAAAGTCATTTACTAAAAAGCATGCATAAACGCTCTTGTCACGCCTAACTAGTTAACTACTAACACACACCAACAGCGCATGCTATTATACAAATTCGAAAAAAAAAAAAAGGAAGAAACACTACGAAATAGGTTGTATAGACTATGGAATTTGTTTGAACGAGCTAGGCAGCTAGCAGTCTTGTAACTATGCCCTTAGCAAAATTAGTAGAGTAATTACTGTTAAAACTAATTCAATCTTTCTTAAATTTATTTGGCAAAAGTGAAGGTATACATGAGTTCGACTTAAAATGATTGACATATTTCTCATGCGATTTTATTCCAACAAACTTTATAGTTTATAATGATTTTAGAATCAATACGGTATGTAAATCAATTCTAGCACAATAATGAAGTATTTTTTTGTTCTTCTATTTCTAAGAAAATAAAAGGATATGAAAGAATGAAATGGACTTTAAAGCAATGCGATATCATCCAAGAGTAACGTGTCACAGTTTAAATGAGTCCATAACTTGTGATAACACTATTTAAATGGAGGTCACAAAAATTGGTTGTCAACTCTCAAGTGTCAACTAACAATTTAAAAAACTATTGGGAGTTGTATTTCCCCTATTCATGGGGCGTCGACAAAGAAACTGTGCCCATCTACAAGATTTAGCTCCAGAACAATAGTATGAAGTTTGGTAGGTAGCAGGCACGCGTGGTCCTTGTAATAATTGTTTTATAAGGACCAAAAAGTGAACTTGAATGATACAAATATTAAACAATTACATATATTTAATATTTTCTGTCCTTCTAAAATATTTTGATTTGTCCCAAAATTTAATTTAATATATTATTTTAATTGAAAATAAAATCTTGATTTAGGATAAAGGGAGTACTTCTTTAATCATTTTTATAAGGTGAAGTAAATTAGAACCAACTCCATAAAAATGAGACAGGAGGGACTATATATATCTCAATACAATATAATTGTTGTTTTGAAACTCTAAAAAACTGGAAAATGGAGCATGATGAACCTGGTCCATATTGTGTGTTAGATGGAGAGATTCGGGTGACACATTCAACTTGATCATCATCAAAACTACCCGTTATTCCTCAATCCTACATTCTCTTGACTTTTATTATTTTTCTTTTTGCCTTTTTCTTTTAACATACATAACCTTGACAAGTAGTAGGAGTACACATCTAACCTGGAATCAATTGACTACAGTATGTCAACGTAAATTTAGGCAGAGAGATACATATATTTAAATTAATCCACAAACATCTGTACCCAAAAAAAAAAACAAAAAATTAATCCACACACATTACACATAAACATATATCGCGATCCATCTTGAAAGGCTTGACATTTTTATGCCTACATGCCATGCATACAATCCTTAAATTATTCAAGTTTGTTTAATATTTCTGCCAATTTAATTCATAATTAGGCACAAAAATACACTAAATTAGTTCATAATGATAAAATCAGTGATGACGAATCAACAACCAGGTGGATTACGTGTAAGTGATACATTAATTTTGAGAAAACAAATCATTTTTTACATATTTGGAAGGTGTCCACTGTCGGCAACAGTGACTAATTCCTCTCGCTGAATTGTAAGCACATCAATAGGTGGAACACACACCCAAAAAAAAATCTGATTTATTTCAAATTTATACTTAGTTGACAAAAGGAAAACAAATTTCATTCCTCCGCTTCGTTAGAGAAAAGAAAAGAGGGAGAAGATAAAGGAACAAAAGGCGCACACACATTTGGCCCCAAATGCGAGTCACAAAATATTCTTTCTCAATCATAGATCTTTTCATATTGCCCACATTTCTGTCTAAATTCATCCGTCAATTGTACAGATCTAATCTATGCCGCTGCCAAGACTCCGAAACGAATCAAGGGCTCAGTGCTCAAGAAGTCGATTCCGAACACACTATAAAATGGAACAGCAATTCATGAATGAAATGAGCAGGTACGTAGTCACTACTTAGTGCGCTTCTTACTATTATTGACGATAATTCATCATCAGGTGGTTTCCCCAGAGTTCCCCTTTAACGCTTCATGGGAGATTAGTACTTCTGAAACTAGACTAACAGTCTTTGTGATTGGTACGCACGTACTATTCCCTTCTGAAGTGTTTGGGGGAACTCCCGGGATCATTTGATGTTATCAGGTGCAAAATTTGTTAACTAGGTTCTCAATTTGTTCAATGAAATTCTCTCTAATTAAGGTTTGGGATAATGTTAATTATCTGATTGGAAATCCTAAATTCTGATAGGTTCTGTGATATTTCAACGATATATCTCTTTGACGTGTTCATGCTTTGATGAGTTTTTTTTTTAATAAATATTTTGACGTACATTATGTAACAACTTTTAGTTAGGATGCTGAAACTTGTTTATGTATACTTTCAATATATGTGTTAATGAATACGGACCTTATAATTACTTACAATTAAGTTTTACTATTGGGTTCTTCAGGATTAGCGCTTATATACAATATGTAAGAGCTAGCACCCCCAATAGCATGATCTCTTAAATAAAGGTAGAATTTGTTCTTCACTTCACCAGCAAACTCCTATTGGGTGATGCCATATTACGCTTAATTTTTTAATTACAAAATAGGGTTGCACATTTTTTTTAAACCAAATTTGTACAAAATACTTTGGAGTAAAAGCAATTCGTTGTCTGAAGCTATATAAAGTTCTAATGACCAGACATAAGTAAATAGCTACCGTTAAATGAATTGTTGAGCTAAAACATTTGTTTTGAATTATCCTGCCAGGTGGTGGAAAAAATAGGGGAAAGGAAAATGCGGGACGTGTTTTGTTATATTGAGCTCGACCTTCACCAAGAGAGATTTTTCTTTCCTGGAAATGTAACACTGATTGTAATCGGTGAAAAATATGTTAAAATCAAAAGGTGACATGGGGAGAGAGATTCGGAAAAAAAGAAAATAAAAATACGAGGACTTATACGTGTTGCAAAAATGAGACATGGGGAGAGATTCGAAGACTCCTTCAGATACCGGTTTCCAAACTCAGTCTTCAATTGTAACTGTAACTAGTTATATTGTTTATGGTTATACTATTTAGTATAGTTGTGTAGATTATGTAACCATGGTAATCTCATTGAAGGATCTTTTAATTTTCTGAATCTATTGGTGAATAAAAACAAATTCGATCTTGTTCAATCCTATTGTTCTTTCATTTCAGTTAAATTAAAAACCATCTAAACTAACAAAAAGGCGAGCAAATGAAACCAAAAATTAAAAAAAATAAAAAAATGCTGTAAGTATATTCCCGTGAATGCTTTCTATTTTGATGCGCCTTTATCGATCCAAGAGACATTGGACTGAAACTCAAGAGACATTGGATTGAAACTCAAAATCGTAAATCACAATTTCATTTAACAGTCCAAAACTCTAGTATCCTAAAATTTTAGATAATCACTTTTGAAGTTATCGTTTTTCTATTAATTAAAAGAATGGAAACATAATAGAGACAGAGCAGGAGGAAGAGACATAAGGAGACCCCAAACCCTAATTTCCCAGCAGCAGAAGTCGATAACCCTAATTTCAGCCCGTCCCCTCGCCCCAACAGCGGCTTCCGGCTCCAAATCCACCAAATCCATTGGAGAAACTTGTCTTCAACAACGAGCTTCCCGAGCCGTACAGTTCTGTAAAAGAAGAAGGGAAATTGTAATCACCGATGAAAAGTTTTTTTATTTTTTCGATAATATGTTACTCAAGGAAACCAACGCACGAAACCAAAATTCTAAAGAAGAACTCCTACTGCACAAAGAAAGCAGCAGCTCCCAAGAAAGTAAAGGCCTCCCAAGCTGTAATCGAAACTCTCGCCTGACTGATGACTATGAGAGAAAGAGGGAGAGAGATCAGACTTAGAGAAGGCGCGACACAAAATGGTACATAATTTTGTGAAGGATGGGTGAGGGATAGTAGTAGTTTTCCTTGTAAAGACATCTTTAATTTATTTTCTCCTTTATTTTAATTTCCTTTTAATTTCTAAAGGAAATAATCGTATAGCACGCCGCATAGTTACGATTGTGTGCCAACTAAAATCCTGGGAATCTTAAAAAGTACATGTATTATTATATTAGAATTACTCCTTCATTTTTTACCCGATCATATTTGGTTTCAATTGGGTTTTCATTAATTAGATATTGTCTTTTTACCTTCCTCACATTATCACCAAACCAAAAAGAAAAAAAAATTTGGATGATCCAAATAACTAATTTCATTAGAAACCTTTTTTGCAAATACATATAAGAGGTTGAAAAGATTAGTTAAGACAGTGACGGATTCAAGGGCGGGTCAGGGTGGTCGATAGACCAGGATTTGACCAAATTTTTTCTTAGTAGCGAGTCTGTTAATTGAAATTTTTTCAGTTCGATCCTCTGGTGACGGTTGAATAATCTTAGTTTCGACCCTGCAATTTGAAAGTTCTCGTTCCGTCATTACCAATAGCTCTATTCAAAATATTGTACCTTCTCTAGCATCAACAAAAGTAACTTCAATTCCATTTTGGAATTAATCACAAGTCAACACGTTATGGTAGAAAGACCTGAATAACCAATTTTAAATTTAACCTAATTATATTGTAAAAAAAAAAATGTATGGTGTGACCTAATAGATGCTCGGACTTACTTGTCTTAGTTATTATTATATATATACATAATTTCCTTAGTAGTATTTGGTAGATTCGTATACTAAAACTACATATTCTTTCCGTTCATTCTAGTAATTCATCTTGTTGATGAAAGGATTAATGTAAATTCTCAAAGGTTTGAGCATGT